GCATGTTTAGAGACATGGACGTAATTACCAAAAGAAACATATAAAGTAGGAGAAAATAGTTGCCTCTGAGAAGGAAATTGGAGAAGAATGGGTCTACTTTTTTTCTCACTTAAACAGTTTTAATTTACTAATCCTCTCATGATAAATCTATGTATCTGCAGAATCTTTACCCCTTCGCTTTGCTAGCACCAAAATTGGCCTTTGCTGTCCCCTTGACTTTCTTCATTCTTTTCTTGAGTTCCTTTTGCTATTATCTTGTCTTTTTTTTTTTTTTAAAGATTTATTTTATTTATGCATACAAGAACTGGGGTCTAGGCCAGAGATGGGAGGGGAGGTGAGAGGATTCACCAGAGACAGAGTGGAGAACAGAACAGGCGGATCTACTGAAATATACTGCTGAGGGGAGCAATGGGTGAAATAGGTGAGGTCTGCTATGCCATATGTGGATTAGCTCGCTGGCCAGGGATCAAACTCTTGTCTCAAGGCTGGCTATAGCTTGACAGTGCCGAGACTTTAACCCCTGCCGCCACCAGAGAGGCTCTGTTTTGTTTTTTTCTTCTCCTACTGGCCATGTCTTGCAATCCTATGTTTGGGTTCATTTTCTTTGCATAACCCAAGGAATTGTAAATTATACCAAAATCAGTTTTCTTGCCACCACCAGAGTGGGTTCTGAATCCAAATACCAAGATGAGGGGCCTCCCTGGTGGCGCAAGGGGTTAAGCACGCACTGTGAAGCTATACGCAGCCTTAAGTTCAATCCCTGGCCAGCCAGGGAGCTACCCACATGGCACAGGAGACCTCTCCTGTCTCACCCACTGCTCCCCTTGGCAGTGTATTTCAGTCAGCTTGCCTGTTCTGCTCCCTACTCTGTCTCTGGTGAATCCTCTCACCCCCAGCACCTCTGGCCTGTACCCCAGTTCTTGTATGCATAAATAAATCTTTAAAAAAAAATACCAAGATGACATTGGGTGGTGGTGTGCATTTTAGCTAGTTTTTCCTGAATTTGTTTAAGGCCCTGTTCCTTTCCCAGGGTGAAGGACGTCAGTGATCATTTCTTTTCACTAACGCAGTCGGTAGGTTATCATTTCCCTGTTCTAGATAGTTACTGTGTTGTTCACGATGATGGTGGATCCTCAGGAGGCCAAGGAGGAAGAGTGTACTCTTTATTGTAATAGGCCTGTGTTTCTATCTGACTCCTGAAACTATAACTTTGAAAACTAAAACTAAACAAAAATGAAAAAGGAAAGAGAAGTATGCTTTACTGTGAAAGAGACCCAATGTGAAAGAGAGTCTTTTCTTTGGCTACCTGCCTTCCTTTCTCCCATCTTTATTTCCTTTAATAGGTGAGACCTGTGTGGGTTTGTTTGCCTTGGAGGAAGAACCAATGGAGAGAGGCTGAGGTTGAAGAGAGGGGGGTGGTTTGCTGAATCAGTGTCTCAGGGGAGGTAGTGGTGGGGTGGGGGGAGCAGTGTAAGCACAGGTGGAGGGATTAGCTTTGAACTGGCGATGGCATCTTAACCTGGGTTGTGTAGGAGAACTGGTGTAGATGTCAGTGTTTGTAGGAGGTGGGAAATTGAGATCACTCATTCCTCATAGCCTAATCTCTGTGAAAAACAGGTCGCTATGAGTGTGAGGAAGGATGGGAAAATTAGTAGCTAGGGTGGAAGCAGGAGAGAGATGTGACTGGAGACATTAAGAGGGACAAAGGGTTATCAGGTATTGCAGGCCCAGCCAAGGTTAGAAACCCTGTTTGTAGTGGCCCCAAATCTGTATCCAGCACCTAGGACAGTGCCAGCACCGATGATGTGTTCAAAAGTATGTGCTGAGTGAACAGGTAAGTTTGGTTGTGTGATTTTTCTGTCAGTGCTCAGCAGCCCTGTGTTGGAGTGGAGAAGGGCAGGGTGATGTCTGGACAGAGCTAGGGTGAGGTTTGAGAACAGGTATTATGAAAGGGAGAGAAACAGAGTGCTGATGAGATAGTGATTGTTATGGTGACCTTGACTTTTAGCCTGGGAAAAAAAGGAAGTCTCAAACTGTGAGAAAACAGAAGGGCCAAGAGGTTTGTGACAAAAAAATCAAGAAGCCATAAAAAGGTGATCATAATTGACTACATTGAAATAAAAAAGTTATGAATCAAAAAAAAAATACTAGGAGCAAAATATTTTGAAACTGAAGGTGATGGTTGCACAATACTGTGAATGTATTAAATGTGACTAAATTGTACATTTAAGATGGATAATTTCCTTATATGAATTGTACCTCAGTAAAAAGAACAAAAATTAGAAACAAATTCAAAAAACAACTGACAAACTGGAAAAAAATATTTGCAAAATATATGACTAAGGGCTTATTTCTTTACTATAAAAAGAGATCTTAGAGAACATTAAGAAGAACAGCATCAACCCAACAATCAGTTTCATCTTCACTAGTAAATGGAGAAACACAAATTAAAACTAGGATGATACCATATTTCGACTGCTTGCCTAATGAAGTAAAAAAGATGCTTTTTAAAAAAGATTTATTTATTTATGCATGAGAGCTTTAAAACATTTTTTAAAGAAAAAAAAAGACCAGGGGCCTCCCTGGTGGCTCAAGGGGTTAAGCAGCACTATGAAGCACTCGCCAGCCACTGCAGCATGAGTTCAATCCCTGACCAGGGAGCTGACCCACATGGTGCAGCAGACCTCTCCTGTTTCGCCCTCTGCTCCCCTCAGCAGTGTATTTCAGCTGATCTGCCTGTTCTGCTCCCCACTCTATCTCTGGTGAATCCTCTTATCACCCCACATGTCTGGCCTACACCCAGCTCTTGTATACATAAATAAAATAAATCTTTTAAAAAAATGTTTTTTAAGTCACTTGACTTTTTTGACCCATTAATTCTACTTTTAAGAATTTGTCCTATAGGGGCCTCCCTTTGGCACAAGGGTTAAAGACTCGGCACTATGAAGCTATCAGCAGCCAACACAAGTTCAATCCCCAGCCAGGGAGCAACCCACATGGCATTAGCAGACATCTCCTGTCTCGCCCGCTGCTCCCCTCAGCAGTGTATTTCAGTCATTCTGCCTGTTCTGCTCCATACTCTGTTTCTGGTGAGTCCTCTCACACCCCCCCTCCCCCCCACACCTCTGGCTTACCCTCCAGATCTTATATGCATAAATAAATAAATCTTTTTTTTTTAAAGACAAAAATATATCTGCAAGAATAACTATTGTTATATTGCTGACATTAAGAAACATGTGACCATCCCTCATGTCTATTAATGGGAAACAGGTAAAAATAAATGCCACCTGGGTAATGCAAGCTATGCAGGTCTTTAAAAGGAGGCAGATCCTATGTTTAGTGAAAGGAATGCTTTTCTAACTACACTATTAAGGGAAACTGTCCTGCTAGTTTGCTAGTAGGCTAGTATCTGTATTTAAAACAAAGGGAAATATACAAGTCTGACTGAATCTGAAGAATATCTTTAGAAGAATAATCTAGGAACTGGTGATCATGGTTGTCTTTGGAAATGAGAAATGGGAGATTGGGTATCAGGGGCAGGAGCTTTTCGCTATTTACTGTTTGGGTTTTTTTTTTTAAAGTCACATGTTTTATCTTCCAGAAAAACCATTAAAATATAGTTAAAAGAAGGCATTGCTTCTTAAAAGTGTGTCAAGGATTCTTCCTGGGACCTCCCTATTGAATCAGTCTGGGAAGGTTGAGTCTGGGACTCTGTTTATTATATCTCCCACAGGATTCTGATTCACCCGAAAAAATTTGTGATCCGTAGGCCAAGAGATCAAAGGTCAAGGACAGCTCACGAGAGTCAGGGGATGCTGGAGCTTCCTCTAGGTGATAAAAATGAGGCGGTGCAAGGTAGGCTGCTACTGTGTGGGATAAGCAAGGTCATTGGCATTTCGGCAGCACTTAAGGCCTGTGAGTAAATGATGATTTAATTAGATGCCGAGAGTCAGTGCATAAAGGCCTGTGTGAGCTGCCTCATCTGGAACTACTTTGTCCCTGGTTGGCTGTCTCAGTCCTTCTGGCCTCTCAGTCCTGAAATGTGCTCTGTTCCTTCCTGCCTTCACACATTGCATGGAATGTTCACATTCTTCCTCAACTTCCACTTCTCTGTTCAATGGTCATTTCCTCCAGGGAAGTCTCCCCCCAGCCCAAGCCTAGGTCAGAAATGGCTCTTGTACTTCTAATTTGGAGCACAGATATTGTAATTAGTTAATTAGGGAATGATTTTAATATTTGTTTTGGTCACTGCTAGGTCCCTATACTATGCCTGACATATACTTGGGACTTAAAATCAAGATTGTAGAATGAATCAATGAACCTGAAGAGAAAAAGGAGAGAAAGGCTGAACTGCAGGGGTGGGAGTGGGCGGTGGAGGTGAGCAGTGTCAGTGGAGTATTGTGTTGCTAACTCCTTTGGCTCAGCCTGGGATTTTGGCCAAGCCTCAGGGAGCCTCTGATGGACGTCAGAGAGCAGCAGTTGGATGTAGCAGCTTGAAGCTCTATGGCTGCCCAAAGCCTTAGCTTCTGAGCTAGACTATAAGCACCAGATGCCACAGATATAACACGGGGTTTCTGCCTTTTAAGGCCCACAGCTGTGGTCCTACTGCACCCCGGAATGGACTGCTTGAGCAACCTTAAGGAGCAGTGGCAACCTACACACTTAGTCACAACAGGTCACCATGTGGCTGTGGGTGTTGGCCACAACAAGGCAGAACCCTCCACAGCTCCCCAGAGCTTCTAGTCTGTATGGGAAATGAGTTATTATTTCTTCTATATGAATAAGTTTGCTTTGTGGCTTTACCAAACTGTGCCCTTGAGTTTGGCCTGACCAAATCAAGTTTTGATGTTTACCTTGGAGCTCAGGCATAATCCAGTCATTCAAAAAAACATTTATTGACAGCCTATGGGGCCAAATGCCAAAGAGGTGCCCAGACGAACTGAGTCCTCACCCATGGATGAACATTCCACCTGCTCCTTAAACACTACATAGAACACACACTCAGTAAAAGGTTTATTTTCTTCTTTATGCTCAGAAACAGAGAGTGGCTTTCACCCCTCCCCTCCCCCAAAGGGTCTCATCTCAAACGAATGGGAGGCAGAGTGACAGGAAGGGGTGTAGGTATGAGGCTGAGGTGGGAATTTTCTCCCATTTTCCCTCTATCACTCCTCTTTTCAGTATCCCTCTCCAAAAATTTAGGTGTGAACACAGCTTGCCACCCATAGGGGGAGGGGTTGGGGAAGCACAGCTGCTTTCAAAAAACTAATGCCCATGTTCAGCAAGAGATGGATCCAGTGCGTATCTAGGGGGACTGGGAGAGGTGGGGGGAGGGAAGAGATTGGCTGAGGAAGCCACTGGATGGAGGAGAAGGGAAGAGAGGCTGGGACCCTCCCCACAACAACAGTGGGGTCTTGGTCCTGCCCCTACCTCTCCCAGCACCATCCACTCCTCCCTCTTCCAGCCCCCCTTCCTAGCAGAATTGGTCATCGTATTCCTCATCCTTCATCCCCTTCAGCCGAAGTCGGGCAAAGTCCTCAAACACGATGTCGTCATCTGTGACATAGCTTGGTGGTGGAAAGGAAAGGGTGAGGCAAGGGCCTCACGCGCTCTTCCTGACTTCCCCACCCCCCTCCTCATACAGATGGAGGTGTGAGAGCAGCACTGGGACCAGAGGTGTTCCCAGAAGGGACAGAGGGCAGTAACAGGGCAGCTCACAAGGCTAAGTCATCTTGATCTGATGCTTCAACTATCCCTCCCCCAAAGGGGAAAAAAAGAGGGTCGAGAGTAGACCTTAATACAGAATCTGTCTCAAGAGGACCAAGAGTAGGAAGGCAGGGGAAGAATTTCTTACTTGGTATCAAATTCAATAAGGTTGGTATCCACAGGGGCATCTGTTTCAGGAGCAGCTGAGGGGAAGAGAAGGGGTGGATAGGCGGGTGCTGCAAGGATCAGCTTTTCCCCCACTGGCCTTGCTCAGGTCCCTCCTTCAGGGACTTGGGGTCGGTGGCACACTCACCTGACTGCGGCCTGGGGAGGGCGACATGGTCATGGGGCTTGGGGTGCATAAGAACAAAAGGCAGCTCCACGGAGACATCCCTGGGGAGGGAGTGGCGACATGAACAGACAGTGACACAGAGGCAGAGAAAACCACTCTGACCTCCACCCCAGGTTCCCTCACCATACTCACCCGCCACGAGACACCACCAGCTTCACCTTGACCCTGTAGGACACCAGGATTCCCAGCACCTCCTTGTTGGCACCCTCTTTCACACTGCAATGGCAGGGGGAGTTGGACCGGGGCCCATCACCCGGCACCCTAGCCTGCCCTGGGGGCTCCCAAATCAGGATTCTGAGCAGACTACAGACTTGCACCAGCACCAGGGGGCTCCAGCAGCTATTAGGAAGTGAAATCCCCCACAACCTTCCTCTGCTCAAAACCCTCCCCTCTAAGCTACAGGCCTTGTGACCTAACAGCCCTCACTGTCTCGCTCTCTACCAGCCCTCTGGCCTCACCTCCTATGCCTCTCCTTGCAGATCATTCTCACCACGCTGGCCTCCGGGCCTGCTGCTGTACTCCCTACAAAGGCACCAATGGCGGGTGAAATCCAGTCCTGACTTTGTGAAACTGCTGACCTCCATGAATGCTCTTGTCCAGGCACAAAGGCACCAGCATCCAGGAGACAGACCAGCAGAGCTCTGCCAGTCTCGTCTCACCTCTGAGTCTTTGTGCTTGCATCTTCTCTGCCTGGAACACTCTTTCCTGCACATCCACATGGCCTGAGTTTGTTGGGTTCTTCCTCAAAATTCACCCCGTATTAGGTCTTCTGTAGCTGCCCTATTTAAAGCTAGCATACCTAGCCTCTATACTGTATATCTCCCTTCTCTGCCTGGCCTTTTCTCTTTAACACCTGCCACTAAACATGCTGTATACTTTACCATTTACCTCATTTGTCTGTCCTCCCTCCCCCAGAATGTCTCTTCTGCTCACTGATAATTCCTGGTGCCCTGGACAGAGCCTGATCCTCAGCTGGCATTGAGCAGATGTCTCCTGGGCTGCAGGAGACGCCCCACCCCCGAGCCCAGCCCCACTCACATGGTGCTGGAAGCCAGGTTGGTGTCCTCGTGCTTGAGCTTCCCATCCAGGGCAAGACCGCGCTTCTCCCGGTTGTCGCTGAGCAGTGGGGTGATGGTGTACACCTTACAGAACGTGGAGCTGGGAGATACCTGGTCGCTGGGGGTGGGGGTAAGAGAACAAGGCTCTTGGAAGGGCCAGCTCCCACCCCCCAAGCAGCCTCTCTCTCATGACCAGCCCCTTTCCCTTTGGGTGCAAGGCTCAACCTGCACAAGAAAACAGCTCAGAGCCCCTGACTATGGAGGGAAAGCCCTTGGAAGTGGAGATCGTTTGGGAAGAAGTCCACCCACTTCACCTTCTCTGGGGTCTACACTTCTCCCTTGAGGTTGGAACTCAGAAATGTTCTGATACTCACTCTTGTTCGATCTGAGCCACAGGACACTTGTACTGGGCAGTGCTGAAGAGGCAGATGTCGGCATACTGTCTCACTGTGGGTGGGTGGAGTTGAGCAGCTCTGCACAGACCTCAGACTATAGCCCAGCCCACGCAGCTCGACCACAAGGTCGGGGGCCCAGCCCAGCCCCACCCCCAAACCCTACTTCTTTGACCCAAGAGCCTAAATTCTTTGGGTCCCGGTGGATCTCCCACACTGGGGTGTTCTTGGGCTGAGATCACACCAGAAGCCACTTGTGCAGCAAATCCCTCCCCTAAGACTCCCTTTCAATCCCCGCCTCCTACCAGAGACTCTGATCTTCTTGACGGTCTTGGTGGAGTTGTTGGTGACATGGACATTGACATTGAGAGGCTCCCCGTGGTAGTACAGCTTTTGAGGGGAAGGGGATCAAGTTAATCTGATCTCTTTTTTCTGGTTCTGTTATTAGTGTTCCTCCTATACAGACATTGCTTGGCCTCCTCCCTCTAAACCCAAGCTCCCAGCAACTCCCCACACCCAGCTGAGGCAGCCTCCTTTAAAAACACTAAGGTAGCTTTGACATGCCCGCTCAGGGGCTAACCTGCACAGTGGCACCTGTGGCACCCTCTCACACCTACCTCCTTATCCAGGGAAGCCTCAAGGTGCAGGGACCGGTCAGACATGAGGAAGTTGCGTGTAGTTTCAGCTGAAGGCTGGGGGCCGGGCTTCTCTGGGGCAAACTGCACCTTTCGGATCACCAGACGCACAGAGTTCCTGGGGTTGGGGACGTGGGGTGGGAGGGATCAGTTCTCAGACACTCCCAGCACCAGCTCCCACCTCCCACAGGGGCCTGGGGCTCCTGGGAGTGGGCAGGAATGGTCAAACCATAGGGAGGTTTCCTCTCTCACCTTTTGTGGCTTTTCTCTTCTAGTGATTTGGCACAGAAGGCTCGTATCTCAAAGTCTACCCCGCAGGCCTTGGGAGGGGGGAGAAATCTTATACAAAGTCCCTGCTACCTCCACCACCATGCCCTCCCTTCCCTCTTCCCAGTCTTGGTAAGGACCCTGGCCCGATCTTGGTCTGAGGAGTGGACAGCTGGGGGTCTTCCTCTGAGGCGTGGCACGTGGCCGAGGCTCAGTCTTGGCTATGCAAGGTGAGCCCCTGCACCCGGGTACATGCAGGTCAAGAGAGGAGGCCATGTCACACTGACCACACCACATGCCCCATTTTCACTGGGGATATTTCCTGACCCTTTTGCCCATCTTCTCAACAGCCAGCCCCCTCTCAGGTGTGCTCCCAGGCTCCTGCTTCACCCTGTTTAGCCCCACAAGCCCTCAGAGCCAGTCCTGTCCTACCTTCCCTGTATCCTCTGGGCCTGGCTGCAATGTGACAGAGCAGGGCAGATTCTGGGGTATCTGTGGTGGAGGAAAGAGAGGCTTCAGTTCTTCTAGAAAGCTTCCAAATCTTCTTTCCAATCTCAACTTAAAAGGCTAGAGGACTCCTCAGGAAGAGAAAGGAAGAAGTAAGGGGACCCTAGAGAGGAGGCAGAGAGGTGACCCTAAGGGAGGCGGATCTAGGGTCCTTTCTCATTGTTTCTTCCAGATCTGCCTTAACAGGTGCCTCACCCCCCAAACAAAGTTCCAGACCCTTTGCCCTGCAGAGGTTGTGGGGGCATCCTCACTGTGAAAAAAAAGGGGTGGGCATGCTGGCCCAGCTTCCTCAGCAGCCGGTCCTGCAGGCGGGTAGGGGGCCGGGGTGGGTTAGGCATTGGGGGGAAGGCCTGATAGGTGGCGATGAACAGGTCTTTGCGGAAGGACAAGCCCAGCACATCCAGGTCTTCACGGCCATAGCGAAAGGCGCAGGTGAGGGTCACAAACACTGGCAAGGGAGGGCAAGGTGGGATAGTCAGGAGCCTCCCTTCTCCAGCCCCCCAGTACTTAGCAGCAACTTGCTTGCATAAAACTTGCCTTCTAGTCCTGGCTTCCACCTCAGCCCTCCATCTCTCTGGGGCCCCTCTGAATGCCAACCCATTTCACTAACCCACCTATCTCCCACCTCCCCTTGGGTCCCTGGACTTGGGGCCAGTACCTTTGCGGTCCTTCAGGTAGTCAGGGTCCACAAGCACCACGCCATCTAGGAAAGGGATGCATGAGTTCATTTCCTGTCTTTCCTCTGTTCTTGTGCCCAGGAATTTCCCCTCTTGATGTAAATGATACCACCTTCTGGAATACTCACCTACAGGATCCACTTTGTCCAGGTGGTCTACAAAGTCCCGCTTGCCCAAGTACACTGTGAGCTGTGGATGCAGAGGAACCACAGGGAGGATTGGGTAGGAGGGTGGCAAGGTGTCAGGAAGGAGTATGCCAGGGATTCTTTCCAGTAGGGTTAGAAGGGGTGGGTAGGGGTTTCCCAGCCTACCCAAACTTGAGGCTTTTTAGCAGCTCCCTAAAAATCTTTTCACACCTCTGTCCACAGGGGGGTTGTGGATCACCCAGCCTTAGGCAGCCATTAGCAGCTTCATTCCTTTTCCTCAGGGGGCTCTGGGATAAACAGGCCATACCCTGAGGGGCTTTAACTTTTCCCAGGCATCCTAGGTTGGCTGCAAAGAGGGCTTCCAGGGGCTTATGGACCTCTCCCCTTTGGTCTAGCTTAGGAAGCCAGCCCTCTGGGGTTCAGGCAGAGCAGCCTTTGCAGCAAGGGGCTTCAGGTGGTATATGGGGGTGGAGTGGGAAGGTTGGCCAGGAAGTTGCCTCTTAGCTGTCACAGGAAGTGGGGAGCTAAGGGTTGGGGCTCAGTCTAGAAGCAGGCCAGGCTGTGTAAGGGAGGATCAGTGCAGCAAGTACCATGGGAGACTCACCTTGCAGTTCGGACTCGACTTCTTGAAGACCCTAATAAAACAGAAAGGGAAACCCCACTGCCTCCCTCAGACTTAGCAGGGACTCCCCCAACACCAGAACCTTATCCCTCCCCAGCCTGAGAAGCACAATTCACCCAGGATTCCTGTCTGAAGACTCTGGGACTCTGCCCAACCCTACCCCTTCCCACTTCTTCCCAGAAGGAAAGGTAACCACAGGTCCTTCATATTCCCAACATGACAGCCCCTTGAAGCTGCTTGCCATGACAAACCCCCTCTCTTGTGAGGGAGGATTAGCCCTCTCTCCAGTCCACCTTCACTAGTTCCCCTCTTCCCATGGCAATGGCTGCTGGGTTCCTCAGGAACCACCAGGCTCTTCCCAGAGGGTCTACCTCAGGGGGACCTGAATGAATAGCTTCCGGCAGTATCTGTATTAGACTAAACTTCCCATCTTCTCTGGTCTCTGCTCTAAGGACAGCTGGATTGGAAGTAATGGTTGCCTCTAAAATGGCTTCTGCCATGGGTACTGACCCAGTATACTCTGCTAACTTCCAGTTGCCCCCATCTCTGATCCCATCAGCTTAAGAGCCTATTTGTTTTTCAAGGTCTAACTCAGATATCATTGCCTCCTTTAGAAAGCATGTTGAACCCAGGCCCTTTAACATTTTTTTGGAGGAGTTTCCTGTAAATACCTCATTTATGCTTTATTTGTGGTGTGACAGCATGCAACACAGTTAGCTGTGTATAATCTGTCTCCTGAGATAGGACTGTGAGCCTCAGATGCTTTATTCATTGAAACCTCTCCAGCACAATGCCAGCCACAAGACAAAAATGATGATGCTGGCTAACATTTATTGGGTAAATACTCCGTGCCCAGCAAGGTTGCAAATGCTTCATATAGGTTATGTCATTTAATACTCTAAACAACCCAAAGGTACAGATCCTAATGTCCCTACTTTATAGGTAAGGAAACTTTTTGCTTAAGGTCACAGTGTAAAGCTGGAATGCAGATATAGATGGACTGACTCTGGGTCTGTTCTAATCACTACACTATTAGACTCTCCTGCCTCTGTAATTAGCATCAAGTTTGTGGATCTGAAGGGGATTCAGTTGCTGCAACAATCTAGGTCTGGACTCTAGCCATCGCTGGGAGGGCAGGGAAGTGTCTGACAACCCTTACACTTGTGCCACCCATGGGCCTGTGCTTTGCTGCACCACCTTATAATCTACTCTCAACCAACTCTGCCTCAGCAATGATCCCTGGGAATGGTCCTCAGAGAGTCGAAACTGAAATCCTGCCAAGCGGTCTATCCCTTCTCCAACCCCACCCCACCTCACTTTCTGTTACAACAACCTCACTTGCCCCTTCTATCTAGAAGGCTAAGCTATCCAAAGGCCATAAGGCAAAGGGCATGGAGGCCCCCATCTGATAAGAGAGTAAACACGGATATGGTGGCAACTAGAATAAGTTCCTACCTCCTGTCCCAACTTGGGGGCTGATTGCTATGGCATCATTCAGTTCTCCCTCCCCTTTGCCTCTGGTTTTAATTTTTGTCCCAGTTTCTTCCTGTTAGGAGGAAATGGCACAGGCTGTGACAGCCATAATCAGTTGGCCCGCTGAAGTGTGACTTTGGAGTAATTGCTCTGGAGCAGCTGCAGGGCACCTGCCCTTTGGATCCTAACCCAAGCAGACGACGCCTGCCAGGCTCGGGAGAAGCAGCACATGTATATGAGGCAGGCCAAGGAGAGGTGTGTGTGTGGGAGGGTGACCAGGGAGGTGCCCAGGGAGGGGAGGCAGCAGAAGCAGATGCCCCAATCACACTTCCTGCTATTCTCTCCATTTCCTGTGGCCCAGAATTTGATGGGGGTGAGGGGAATTGTGCCAAGTCAGCAGTCACCCTTTGGTCCATCCATCCCCCTCCCTCAACCACACAACGGAAATGGGGGCCTTCCTCAAGTTGGGGACTTCCCCTTTCTCTGGGGCGTTTAACCCCTAATCCAGGACACCAATCTTCCCTCTTATTATCTCTCTCCAGTACTTGGTGCTCAGAAAACTGAGTTCTCATTCTCTGTGGGTGGGGGGGCTGGTGAGACTGATAACATGTTGTGTAGAACCAGTGACTGCTCTGAACCTATTCCTGATCCCTCTTGGGTAGAGGCATGTAGCCCCAATCTTTTCCTCATTTACTCCTCATTTACTCCCCAGGGATTCAGGCAATCACCCACTGTCCCCTTGGGATGTTGGGTCACAACAGGAAGTGGATTTTGCTAGAGACGGGAAAAAAAAAGAACTCGGGGTGTCAGTGGAAGGAAGGAACCTCAATTGCACAGAAAACATCCGGGGAGTGGATGGCGTGCCCAGGGCAGATACTGCCTCCCCTTACCCCCGGGAAGAGGGGCAATGCCCAGAATCGGGGAGGGCCACCACGCACTCTGTTCCCCCAAGATGAAGCTGTTGCTCTTAGCAACCCGAGGGAAGGCAGAAGTTTGGAAGTGGAGCCACCCGGCCCTCGGGACAGGTGGGGGCAGTCCGACTGCCAGTGGGGTACTGAACAGGAGGCTTTCCAGGCACCAGTCTAGAGGAATCTCCCTACCGAAGTATAGCCTCCCCACACCCGACCCCTCGGGGGACGGCCACCTGCTCCTCCTTCCTCCGCCCCTGCATCTCAGCCCGCACCACAGAACCCAGTTGTCCGGCCCCCACATCCCTGTGAGAATTCACTTGCCGCTTTCCTGATCCCTTCTAGTCCTAGCTTTCTGCAGGGGCTCTAGCATGCTTCCCCGGCCCTCTCCACCCCCCACCCCCCATTATCCTTGAGGACCTAGGCGTGCGGCCCCTGATAGCTGCCCCCTAGGGACCCAGGCGTCCGGCCCCCGGATTCTCTCCGGGGTGTCCTCGTCTGGAGACCATCCCGGCACACGCTCCGAACCACCACCCACGCCCCGCCGCGTGGCCCCACCTCCCTTACCTGGTCCCGGGTTTCTCCCCCATGGTGCGCGCGCCCGCCGCCCGCCCGGTTCGCGGCTAGCTTGCAGCTTCCCAGCCCGCTGCCAGGTCCCTGCTCCTCCCCGCGCCACTGCGCACGCGCGCCCCCGGCTCTTTCTCCTTTCTCCCCTCCCCTGCAGCACCCCCCCGCTCGGATCCTGGGGAGCCAGAGGCAGATGCGTCAGCCCGGATCGCGCGCGCCGCGGCGCTGCCCGCCCTCTGCTTAAAGAACCGCGCGCCGATTGGCTCCGCCCCCGCTCCTTCCGCACCCGGTCCCCACCCCACCCCACACAGCCCTCCCCCGGCGAGCGCCCGCCCCGCTCCCCGCCCCCCGGGCTCCCTTAGACGCTGACTGGGCCTGCTTTAATGAAGGGGCCCGCCCCCAGGAAATTAGGGTCCTCTGATTGGCTCCTGAGTCCAGAACCCGTAGGGGGTCCCCTCCCCTTTGTTTGCTTTCTCGGAGCCGGTGGAGGCGATGGGGTGGGAGTGGAAGGAGCTGAAGCTCAGTCTAGGGAGGAGGCTTAGGGGAAGCACACGTGGGTGGCCGTTCAGTTGCGTGACGCCCGCCTTAGCGCGCGCCACTTTCCCGCTTACCCCGGCTCTTTGCAGCCTGGCTTTGGCACCCCCCCACCTTTTTTTTTGTGTGTGTGTTGTGTCAGCTCCCCCTGGTGTTTGTCTTTGATCTTCGCACGGTTACTTTTCCCAATTTCTGACTGGATCTGCTCTCCATCCATACTCATTGCAGTTCACATCTGCCCACTTATCTACCGCCCCCAAGCCCCGTGCATGTATCCACCCATGCAGGCACACCTAAGTTTATACTAGTCTTCATGCTAGGCGAGGGGTACACAGACGTGAATTAGCATGGTCTCTGCCTTCCTAGTATAGTTGAGAAGACATAGCAGGTATTTTGATCCCAGGAATGCTTATAATAGAGGTATGACTCAGAAGACAACCAACCACCAGCGTTTGACTGGGGCGGGATGAAGGGAGAGCAGGCTGCCCAGAGGAGGGGACCTTTGAGGACAATCCTTCTGCAGTGTGGTCAAAAGTAGTTAAAGGAGGCCTCCCCGGTGGCGGCGCAGCGGTTGAGCGCTGGGTTGCGAAGCTGCCCGCAGCCTCTGCGGCGCCGGTTCGATACCCGGCTGCTCCCCGGGTCACCGGAGGAGGGTCCCACATGGCGCGCAGACCTCTCCTGCCGCCCGCTGCTCCCCTCAGCAGTGTACTTCGGTCCTTCTGCCTGCTCTGCTCCCCGCTCTGGCTCTGGTGAATTCTCTCACCCTCCCGCGCTTCTGACTGTGCCCAGTGCTTGTATAAACAAAAAACAAACAAACAAATAAAATAAAAACATGCCTCTATAAAAAAAAAAAAAAATTAAAAAAAAAAAAGTAGTTAAAGGACATTCTAAAGAAAGAATGGAAAGGCACATGATGTTCTGAAGTCTTTGTGGGATTAGATGGCAAAAGATAAGACTGATGAGGACGACTGGACTAGAAAGTGAAGGATTCTGTAGAATAGGTGAAAGAAAGAGACTAAGGTACTCCCTGGAGGAGGACACGTGGATCCAGTACAAGCGGTTTTTCAGCTGATGAGTGGCATGATGAGATTTCTTTCAAGAAGATAATTCTGGACAATGTGGGTGGAGGGAGTGGGGCAAGGCTGCTGTAAATAAACTAGTTAAGGAGAAATAATGAAAAATAAAATGGCAGGGAGAAGAGGGGCCAGGATAGAGTTATTTCTATCACAAAATTGACTGGATTTGAGATGATGGTGGATGACTGACATTTCTGGATCTATGGAGGTAAACTATTCCTCTTTCCTTTTCTTTTCCAACACTTCCCTTGGCTACTCCAAGAGTACTGGTGTCACACTTTCCCCTCCACTTTTTTTTTTTTTTTTTTTTGTGGGCCCCTCGCAGGCGGCCCTGGAACGAACCAGCGCTGCAGAGGCTGCGGGCAGCCTTGCAGCCCAGCGCTCAACCACTGCACCACCAGGGGAGGCCCCCCTCCACTTTTTTTTTTTTTAAAGATTTATTTATGTATACAAGAACTGGGGTACAGGCCAGAGGTGCAGAGGTGCAGGGGTGAGAGGATTCACCAGAGACAGAGTAGGGAACAGAACAGGCACACTGTGTGAAATAACACTGCTGAGGGGAGCAGTGGGCAAGACAGGAGAGGTCTGCTGCACCATGTGGGTAGCTCCCTGGCCAGGGATCAAACTCATGCTGCAGAGACTGTGGATAGCTTTACAGTGCTGTGCTTAACTCCTTCCCCCACCAGGGAGGCCCGCCCCTCCACTTTTACTACAACAAAAATTAATATGTACAAGACAGTTTCTGAGATCATCTTTAAGATTCAGACACAGATCTTCCCCAGCTGCCACCTCCCAAGTGCTCAGTTCTATCACCACCTTCTGCACTGACTCTTCACCCCTTTCAAGCTTTAGATCCCACATTTCTTTTAAACTCATGAATCATGACTAGAAGGCTCATGGCCATGAAATCTGCTAAATGTCTAAAGTGCTCTTGGAACTGAAAGGTAGTGATGTGCAAGGTGTGTAAACTGCTGTATTAAAAGATACTAATATAGGGCCTCCCTGGTGATGCAGGGGTTAAAGACAGCATTATCAAGCTATTGCCAGTCACTGCAGCAGAGTTCAATCCCCTGCCAGCCAGGGAACAACCCACATGGCACAGCAGACCTCTCCTGCCTTGTGGGCTGCTCCCCTCAATGGTGTATTTTGGTCCATCTGCCTGTTCTGCTCCCCACTCTCTCTGGTGAATACTCTTTTTTTTTTTTTTTTTTGAAGATTTATTAATTTTTTTATACAAGCACTGGGTACAGTCAGAAGCGCAGGAGGGTGAGAGAATTCACCAGAGCCAGAGCGGGGAGCAGAGCAGGCAGAAGGACCGAAGTACACTGCTGAGGGGAGCAGCGGGCGGCAGGAGAGGTCTGCGTGCCATGTGGGACCCTCCTCCGGTGGCCGCAGCCGGGGATTGAACCGGCACTGCAGAAGCTACAGGCAGCTTCGCAACCCAGAGCTCAACCGCTGCCGCCCTCTGGTGAATACTCTTACTCCCAGCACCTCCGGCTTACACCCCAGTTCTTGTATGCATAAATAAATCTTTAAAAACAAACAAACAAACAAACAAATAAATAAATAAAGGTACTAATATAATGACAATTTTAAGAAGATATTAAAGAAAACCAGAAAGAGTGAAGGAGATACAAATGTAAATTAGTATCGTGTTGGGGGGAAATTAGCATTATAAAGATGTTATTTCATCTCAAATTATCTATAAATTTAATGACATAGCAAAATAACAATGGGATGGGAGGCTTGATTCTAAACATAATGGCAAGAATCAACTTTCACATAAAGAAAATTCTGAAAAATAAGAGTAAAGCTGGAACTTGATAGGATAATTTATAATTATCTTATTTAACAAAGATAATTTATATTACAATAATTAGGGGCCCTGGTGGCACAAGGAGTTAAAACGCAGTACTGTGAAGCTATCTGCAGCCACTGCAGCATGAGTTCGATCTCCAGCAAGGGAGGTGACCCACATGGCGCAGCAGACCTCTCCTGTCTTGCCTGCTGCTCTCCTCAGCAGTATATTTCAGTAGATCTGTCTGTTCTGCTCCCCACTTTGTCTCTGGTGAATCCTCTCACACACACCCCATCTCTGGCCTACACCCCAGTTCTTGTATGCATAAATAAATAAATCTTAAAAAATAATTTATATTATAGTAATTAAATTGTATTATTGGTGCAAAAATACTAAAAAGAGCAATGAGACAGACTAGAGGCCAGATATAGACCCACAAGGTAGCTTTTCAGTTAATGGAGAAAGACTGGCATATTCACTAAGTAGGGTTGAGACAATCAACTATCCCTTTGGGGAAAAAGGCATATCTTTATGTCACACCTTAAACCATAGATGTATTAAAATCTAAATGTACAGAATAAAAGTATGAAAATATTAGGAGAAAATAGAGTAGAATATTTTTATAATCTTAGATGTTAGTGAAAGCCTCTCAAAATATCAAATTCCAAGGCTATAAATAACAACTGTTAGTACTCACAGTGTTTGTTTTGTGCCAAAAATCATTCCAAGAACTTTACAAATATCACTTCATTTAATCCTCACAATGCTTTGAGTTAAGATTGTAGAATTTAAAAAGAAAAAGGTTGTAGAATTACGGGCCTCCCCGGTGATACAGAGGGTTGAGCGCCGTGCTACGGAAGCTGTCTGAAGCCTATGCAGCGCAGGTTCTATTTCAGCCGGTTGGTGAGAATCCCACATGGCGCAGCAGACCTCTCCTGCCGCGCCTGCTGCACCCCTCAGCAGTATCTTCGGTCCGTCTGCCTGTTCTGCTCTCCACTCTGTCTCTGGTGAATTTTGTCATCCTCCCACGCTTCTGACTGTACCCCAGTTCTTGTATAAATAAATAAATCTTTTAAAAAAATTGTAGAATTAACCCCACTTTACGGATGAGGAAATGGAGGCACAGTTAAGTAATCTGCAGGTGCCGACAACTAGCAAGAGGCAAAGCTGACTTTTGAACCCAGCAGTCCAGATCCAGAGCCTCTGTACTTAACCAAAATTCTTTATTTCAAACAGACTAAAAGATTAAAAAATGACAAATAAAATAGACAACTTGGAAGGAACCCCTGCCAACTTTGCAACACATAGAACAATCAAGAATAATTTCCATATCTATGAAGACTTCCTATAAATAAGATAAAGACAAACAACCCAATAGAAAAATGGGTAAAGAAAAGACAAGTGGGTATGAGGCAGCATTCCTTCTGCTCACCTGTGAATCTGCAGGTGCTTCTTTTCACGAACTCTCTCCCTCTGCAGGGCAGCAACTTCCTGCTTGCCTGTGACCTGTGACCATACCAGGGCTTCTGTTCACTGACATTGGTCAAAAGAGGCAGCTCTCCTCAAGACCGCCCGCCTGTGAGCATGCAGGCCTCTCTCAGCAAACCTGTCCTTTTTAGGGCAGCTCTTTCTGCCTGCTTGTGTCTATGCAAGTGTCCTTTATTCTTCTGTTCCCTTTTCCTAATAAACCTGCTCTTTAAATATTAAAAAAAAAGACAAGTGGATATAAAAGGATAATTCATAAAGATAAAATACAAATTTTGACTAAACATATGAAGTTACTGCACTAATGATCAGGGAGAACTAATTAAAAGAAGATGATATTGATGTCGTTTTTGGAGTTGATGGATTTTGAGAGCGGGGTCCTCGGGTTCACTCTGGGAAAGGTTTTGTTACAGAGCAACCCCGTTTCACCAGAACTCCCCTTTCAGTGACATGTGGCAAGTTTCCCAGGCGAGTTTCTCCATAAGACAGAGATGTTAGTTATATTTAAAGAGCAGGTTTATTAGGAAAAGGGGATATTCTTATCCTCCATCAATGTTATTTTTCATTATTCAGAGTCACAAAATTTAAAAGGATATATAAAGCTAGTATGGGGATGGGGATGAGGTATAAAATATTGAGTATTATCCTACATGTTTGGCAGATGTATAATTTTGGGGGGCAGGTGTATAAACTGATGAATCTTTCTTGAGGGCATTTTGCCAGTTCCTGTCAGAATGAAAAATAGGCATACTTTTTCATACAATACTTACTCATTTAGTTACTCAACAAAGCTTCATTGGGTACTTTTTATGTGCCAGGAACTGTTCTGGGTGATGAGAATAAAACTGTGGAAAAGACCTCTCTCATGGTGTTTGTGTTTTAGATGGAAGAGATAATCAATCAGTCAATGACTAAGGAAGTAAATAAATTTTGGGTAGTGTTATAAATTATAAAAAAATAAGCAGGGTAATGTGACAGAAGGTGATGGGGGTTGGGGTGGTGACTACTTTAAAAAGGAGCCCTCTCTAAGGGTGGCAAGATGGTGTCAGTTACACAAAATCAAAGGGAATTTTCTACAAGCAGAAGCAATAATACGTGCAAAGACTCTGAGGTGGGAATGGGTTTGCTGGAGGGTAGAAAAAAGGCCAAGGAGATATATATATATATATATATATATATATATATCCTTAGCTTAATGATACATAACACACACATATACACACACACACACACAGAAAGAGAGAGAACGAGAATGCTGAGGTCAGAGAAGAGTATGGGTCTGTGGGCGAGTATGGATTCCTTAAGACTAGGTGAAACCAGGGGTTTCATTCACATCACTTTTGGAAACCACTGAAAGGCTCTCTCCACCTAGTCAACAACTGATTTAAATTTGAAAAGCTTTCTGAGATTGCTGTGAGGAAAAGGGACTACAGAGAGCTGAAGGTAAGCAAGAAGAACTTAGAAGAGGCCTTTATAACAGAAAGAGGAAAGTGGGGGGAGGAGAAAGAAGGCAGGGAGAGAGGAGGAGAGGGAGGGAGGAAGAAGGAAGAGAAAGAGAGAGTGGGGGGGGTGGGGACTTGGGCCAGAAAAGCAGCAGAGATGCCTACTGGGTTAATTTAATGTATTTTGGAGGCAGAATGTCATACTTAAAGAAGGATTAGATTAGGTGTGAACAGATTGTGAACATTCTAGGACTCCCCTCCCCGTCTAGGAGGTGAGAGCAAAGCCACCTGCATAGGCTTAAAGTCAGAAAAGGCCTGTCCAGTTCTGTGAAACAACCATGCAAGCATTTGGTGTCTGTGGTAAACCAATCTTTCAGCGTCCACTAGTGATTAAGAAGTCAGCTAAAAAGATTTTAACAAAGGGTGCATAGCCTTTGCAGCTCCATAGTGTGTTCTTTCAGGAGTCAGGAAAATGCTTCTTTCTTTTCTAACAGCTTGAAACCCAGCATTTGCTCTCTTCTGCACATAGATAACACCAACATTTCTTTAGGTCGAGATAATTTAGGAAATCAAAAGATCTATAGGTGAAAACTGAGAGCCCCCTAACAAGAATAATTACATTTTTTACATCAAGGAATCACTTTTCCTTTTCTTCTTTTGCAGGCGTGCCACTTTGTAACAAGATACAGAAGCTGAACTCAAACTTGTGATTGAGCAGTTCTCACAGTAAAATCTATGGACTCTGATGGGGGGGGCGGGGAAGGGGGGTTGAATTCTTTACTTTGATTATACAAAGATAGAGATAGTAGGGTGTTCACTGAAGTGCTTGCATTAGGGAAAAACTGGAACAGCAATAGAATTGATAAATTACCGTGGTCCCAGTTCATAGAAGCGTGTATGCAAGCTTTAAAAAGCAGCAGAGGTGCCCATGATGTACATCTTGTGAGAAAAACCAAGTGCAGACAAGTGCAGACCAGGCTCTTGTAAAATAAACGAAGTTAAATAATCTCTATTTGTGCATTGGCTAATGTTAGTAAAGCATACAGGTTACCGGGGTAGGCATTGGGGAGAGATGCTCTTCTCTTTTTACTGATGTCCTCCGTATTGTTTGAATTTGTTTTCGCGAACAGCATGCATCGTATCATTCCTATAATTGTCAATGCAATTTAAAGTATCTATGATTTCAAACATAGCTGTAACCGAACCCTGGAGGATAAGTCTCCAGAAACTCCGTTAGTTTAACGGATAGCTGTCGGATTCAGGCGCCTTTTGTCCTGACCACGTGTTCTTTAAGCACCCCGGGACCGCCCCGGCCCACCCCAAGCCCGCCCCAAGCCCGCCCCAGGCACCGCCCACCGGTCAGCCCTTTACACCCGGTGCACTAAGTGCCCGCCGCGCCGCCTCGCGGCCCGCCGCTCCGGCCCCTCCACCTGCGCATGCTCCTACCAAGTCAGTGCCCACAGTCCGACCTCGGTTTACCCACCGCGCAGGACCACAGCCCTCTCCTCACGCCCCCTCCCCAGGAGGCATCTGTCGCGGTGTGTTTGCGTCATCGCGCCACGCCACCAGCAGAGCCCGGTGAAGATGGCGGCAGCCGTTCTTAGTGGGCCCTCTGCGGGCTCCGCGGCTGGGGTTCCCGGAGGGACTGGGGGCCTCTCGGCTGCGGGCTCGGGCCCACGTCTCCGCCTGCTGCTGCTGGAGAGCGTGTCGGGGTTGCTGCAGCCTCGAGCAGGGTCCACAGTTGCCCCAGTGCCTCCTCCAGCCCGTTCGGCCCCACATTTGCCCGGGCTCATGTGCCTATTGCGGCTGCATGGGACGGTGGGCGGGGCCCAGGTGAGTCTGTGGCCCGCGTGCCTGCGGCCCTGTTGGAAGGTTTGCGCCGCATCTGTGCGCTGGGGTCTCGGTGCACTGCAGCTAATGTAGGGAGACAGGGACGGAGAGCTGGGGACTGAAAGCAGATCCCGCTGTCAGTCTGGTTGAGATTCACGCATTTCTTCATCCCTAAGAGGAAACTCTGGGAAACAAATGGGTCTTCGTTTCCTCATTGCTAGGCTACTGGTATTCCCTTAAATGGGTTAGGTTTCAGGCCTCGTTACTCCCTATTGTATGAGCTTTAGCTTTTATCTATACCACTCTTTTTCTGGCATTGTTTCGACTGAGTTAGTGACGTATTCAAGAGATATTTACTGAACTCTTAACGGAGGATCTAGTACTGTACCCTGAGGATGAATAGGGACTGAGTAGAGAAAGAAAATAGGACAGATAGTATGTGGAAAGTCCCTGTGGTAGGAAGGTAGGCAGGGCATTGTCCCTGGGGCCCAGCGACAGAGGGGAAGAGAGTGCCCTCAATGAGGCTGGTGAGGGGGTGGACAGCTTGTAGAGCTTAAAATATATATACTCTTGTACTAAGAGTATATATGATACTAAGAGTATATATGATACCAAGAGTATATCTAATCTTACCATCCATTCAGTTTTAAAGCTAGAAATCCAGGTATCATCCTAAACACTTTCATCTTGTTCATAATCATTCATCTGCAGTCTATCACCTCCTGTTGATTTTATTCTCTGAGTAGTTTGCAGGTCTGTCCACTCCTTTCCGTATCTTTGCCTTCATCCTACCTTGAACGCCCAATATCTTGCTCAGGTGAAGATACAATATGTCTAACCTGTGGTAGATGCTTCTGTAATATTTTCTCCCGCTCTCTGTCCTTTACTCCTAACCTCCCCTCAGATTCTACCCATCCTTCAGGACTCATAGGTAATATCTTGCCCAACATTTGTTATTGGGATCTGAAAGGAAGAGAATTAGTCCCACGTTTATCAGGGATGACTGAGTTTATTACCTATATTAACATGAATTACTCCATATTGGAGGATGTCAAAACTACTGCTATCTCATGCCAGTTTCAGAAGCAGAAGTTGATTATCTATTTAGTCTCTAAACCCTTTCCTCTAATTCATGTGATTCCTAAGTATTTCTGAAATATCTAGTTTGTCTGTAAATGTGTGATTTCTTTCATCATGTCTTTCAAGACTCCCCCTCTTCCCTCAGGTGAGCTACATAAATTCAACATCTTGCTTATTTTCTTTACATGCCTAAAGTCTAGTAGAATTTTGATTAAAGCTAAGGGTGATGTGAGACTCTGGACTCCCTCTTTATTGTTGCCTTTAATAATAATACATTTTTGGATATATCCTGCCTTGAATTTTTTTTCTACTTGCATCTCTTGTATTGGGTCCTTAATATGTGGAACTATGTGGAGTGTCTTTTGCTTGCCCATTCAATAAACATTAAAAGTTTTTTTTTTAACTTTAAATTCACTTTCCTGCTTAAAAACATATAATAACTTATTATAGAGGCCTTATATAGTGAGGTCTTATATGCCTTTCAACCTCATCTCATATGACTCCTTGTCTTAACTGTGCTCCAGCCACTAAGGCCAATCTCTTTTCTTAATAATATGCTCATCAGTCCCTTCACTCTTTGCAGGGAAATTGATGGGGAGGTGAGTTTTTCATTTAGATCTCAAAGGAGTCTTTCCTGATCACTCCATCTAAACATACAGTATTTCTTTCTATTCCAGTCATTCTCTGTCACATTATCCTGCTTTATTTCTTTCCTAGCATTTATCACTATTTGAAAGAAATTAACTTCTTTGTCATGTTGTCGCCTCTTGATCCAGTTTAAATTCCATTAAAATCACTTCCTTACCTCTTGCCCTTCTTTGTATGTGCCTTGTAATACCTTATCTTAAATCCATCTCTATTCTGTGCCTGCACTTGCACAACTCAGGAGAGCTGGGGAAAAAATATATCCATGCTGACTGGTCTCACTTTAAATTCACGCCCATCATTATCCCAAGTGGATCCCTAATATCTAGCAGTCCTGTTACGTAGCTACTCGACAACTGTGTGTGCATCTGTGCCCACATGCTTTACCTTCTGAACCACCTCTAAGGATGAGCTGGTCCATGCTCCTACTGAGCCTAACTCTGCTTGTGCGCTGGATCTATCTCCTCTTCTCTTAGCAAGTATATTACTTCAGTTGGCTTCCCACTTCATCAGATTTTTCCCTCTCTGTTGGGTTATTTTCATTATACAGATCAAAGAAAACCCCATTCCCATGACTGTTTCATTTCTTTACCATTTTTAATGGCAACACTTCTCAAAATGATTTGTTTGTACTTGCTGATTCTACTCCCCTTTTTAAAAGTATTATCACTTTGGAATAATTTAAAATTTATAGAAAATTGAAAGGATAATTCAAAGAATTTCTATATGTTTTTCATTCTGATTCCCCAAATGTCAGCATTTAAAACACTTACTTGTTTTATCATTCTCTGTATATTTTTTCAGGATCCATATAGGAGTCAGTTGCACACATGATGCCCTTTTATTTCCAAATACTTCTGCGCGTGTTTCTTTAAAAACAAGAATGTTCTGTTAACCACATTCTATCATCACAATCAGAAAATTAACAATGGGCCTCCCTGGTGGCGCAAGGGGTTAGGAACAGCACTATGAAGCTGTCCACAGCCTCTGCAGCAGGAGTTTGATCCCCCCGGGTAAGCCAGGGAGTGACCCACGTGGTGCAGCAGACCTCTCCTGACTGGCCCACTGTTCCCCTCAGCAGTGTATTTCAGTCATTCTGCCTGTTGGGTTCCTCACTCTGTCTCTGGTGCATCCTCTCACCCCCCCACACCTCTGGCCTGTACCCCAGTTCTTGTATGCAGAAATAAATCTTTAAAAAAAAAAAAGAAAATTAACAATGACATGATAAATCATCTGTAGATCTTACTGAGTTTTGCTCAAAGTGTCCTTTATAGCTAAAGAGAAATCGTTGGTCCAGAATTCAATGTGGGGTCACACAATAGCTTTCTTTAATCTGAGGTAGTTCCTTAGTCTTGGTTTTGTCATCTTGACATTTTTGAAGAGTACTAGATAATTGTTTTATAGGATGTCTCAGTTTTGTCTGCTGTCTCCTAGTATTTGTGTATTTTTTGTAGGAATACTGCAGAAATGATGTGTCATTTTTGGTGTATCATGTTAAGAGACTATATTGTTTCTTTGTTCCATTACTAGTGATGATAAACTGATCACTGGGATAAGGTGGTATCAGCCAGGTTACTTCACTATACACGTAGGATTTTTTTCCCTTTGGTAATTAATACATATCCTGTGGGGAGATTATAAAAGTCTTGTGTCTTGTCAACTTTTCACCCACTTGTTTTAGTACCCATTAAAGATTCTCTCCTGAATGAATTATTACTATGATGGTTGTTTCACAAAACTTGCTTCATTTAGACTTTCTCTGAAACACCCCTTTTCTAGGTCATATGGTAAATCTTGAAGGTTGCCAGTGACCATCAGAATATTAAATTGAAAGGTAAATTTGGGTTTTCAACTTTCCTCACCCATGTTTAGCATTTGTTTCAGTTGATTGTTCTTTTCTTTTTGCAAAGCTTTCTTCTTTTTTTTTTTTCCCAAATAGAGGCATGTTTTATTTATTTATTTATTTTATTTGTTTGTTTGTTTTTTGTTTATACATGCACTGGGTACAGTCAGAAGCACGGGAGGGTGAGAGAATTCACCAGAGCCAGAGCGGGGAGCAGAGCAGGCAGAGGGACCGAAGTACACTGGTCTGCGCACATGTGGGAGCAGCAGGGGATCGAACCAGCGCTGCAGAGGCTGCGGGGCAGCTTCGCAACCCAGCGCTCAATCGCTGCGCCACCGGGGAGGCCCCTGCAAAGCTTTCTTTATCTGACTTCTGGGATATTACTCTGGATTCTCTCGCCATACTGGTCATTTCCTCTAATCTTTACTGCTTCCTTCTCACTTGTCTGATCTCTAAGTGTTTGAGTACTCTAGAACCCAGTTCTTATACTGCTCCCCCTCCTCTGTTGGCACTTACTTCCTGGGTGAGCTGATCTAGCCTCATGATTGATAATTCCCAAACTTACACTCTAACCAGGATTTCTTCTGACTCAGACTCATCTACCCAACATCTATCTGTCATCTCCATTTTCATGTTAAATAGACATCTCATGTTAACATATCTGAAACTGAACTCCTAATCTCACCCTGAAAACCTCCTTCTCCTGCAGTATTCCCCTTAGTAAATGGCAACTCCATTTTTCTAGTTGCTCAAGCCAAAAATCATGGAATTATCTTTTCTTCTTTATCTCCCATTCATCTCCAACTTGATCAGATCCTGTTGACTCTACTTCAGAATATATCCAGAATTTGACTGCTTTCTATCCCAACTAAGGGATAAGCTATGATATCCCCTAGGTTATTACAATAGCCTCCTACTTCTGCCTGCTTCTCAACGTAACTTGGGTGTTGTGTTTTAAAAAGGAAATCATAAGTCAGGTAATAGCAGTCCTCTGCCCAATTCCCTTCTCCCATTCTGACTTTTATTTAGAGTGAAAAATCAACTGATTTGTATGTGACTCTGCAGAGTCAGACCCTACTACATCTTTTATCACATCTCTCTCTCTCTTGCTCACTCTTCTCTGGCAACAGTTCCCTTCTTTGCTGTTCCTCAGATAGGCTAATGTGCTTGGAACACATTTTTTATTAGTATGTTGGTATGTCTTTTTAAAAAACAGCTTTATTGAAATATAATTTACATACTCTACAAGTCACCCATTTAAAGTGTACATTTCAAGGGTTTTTTTAGTGTATTTACAGAGTTGTGCAATGATCACTATAATCAATTTTAGAACATTTTCATAGCATATGAACTCCTGTGCACCTTTAAAACATTTTCATCACTCTAAGACTACCCACTGGTAGTCATTCCTTCCCCACCTCCTTCAATCCTAGGGGACCTCTAATTTACTTTTTTATCTTCATAAATTTGCCTTTTCCAACCATTTCATATAAATGAATCATACAATATGTGATCTTTTGGGTCTGGCTTTCACTTAGAATGCTTTTAAGGTTCATTCATGTCTCAGAACTCCATTCCTTTTTCTGACCAAATAATATTCCATTGTATGATATACTGTATTTTGTTAATCCATTCATCAATGTATGGGCATTTGGGTGTTTTCCACATTCTGGTTGTTATGAATAACGTTGCAATGAATGTTCTTATGAGAACATATATTTTCATTTCTCTTGGGCCCTTTTCTAGGAGAAGTGCTGGATCATGTTAACACCATGTATAGCCTTTTCAGGAATTACTAGACTGTTACCCACAGTAGCTATATCATTTTACATTTTTATCAGCAGTTTATGAGGGAATCACTGTCTTACTCTTACTTTCCTTTAGCTCTCTGCTCAAAATGGCCTTTTTATGTGCCCACTTCATATAAAATATGTCCTTTCCCTACTCCAGGCACTCCTTTCCTTCCTTCCTTTGCTTTATTCTTCCCCATGGCACTGATCTCTACAATCTAACGTAAATTACTTGGTCATTTGTTTATTTTTTGTCTCCTCTAATTAGCATATGAACTCCCCTGCACCTTAATGTCTCACATGAATAAACGAATGAACATGTCATTTTCCTTCTGAGAGTGTGGACCTTTATTATTTCCAGCTCTGTATTCGTTTATCTTACTCAGTGTGTAATATGTGTTTCTTGAGTAAGTGATGACTACAGTTAGGATGATATAGGAACCATGAGCATAATCAGGCTATTTAAGTCTGGAGAGGTTACTTGTGGGAGGATTGAGTAAACCTCTTTAAGGGCCCCTGTGTGTGAGAGAGGGAGAGGGCTGGAAAGAGGCTTAGTTGACTAGGTCTTTATTGGCATTTTTGATAGCTCTAAGGAACCCAAGATTTGTTTGGGGGTGAAGGAAGAAGGGTAACAGATGAATTCTGTGTCCATCCAACAGGTATTTATGGATGACTCCCTTTATGTTGGGTGCTGTCCAGGAATATAGAGGTGAAGCAGATCTGCCTTTGAAATCTGGTAGCTGGGATGAGTTGGGCTCTGTATCTCACTAATTTATTGGGTGGGAGGTTGGAGAAGGGGTTAGGCAAGGGGTAACTGAGGAAAGCCTATGGGACAGGGTAAAGGGTGAACACTTCGAGAGCAATTATCTTTTTTTTTTAAAGATATATTTATGCGTACAAGAGCTGGGGTACAGGCCAGAGAGGTGAGAGGATCCACCAGAGACAGTGGGGAACAGAACAGGCAGATTGACTGAAATACACTGCTGAGGGGAGCAGCAGGCAAGACAGGAGAGGTCTGCTGCGCCATGCGGGTTTCTCTTTGGCCGGGAATCGAACTCGTGCTGCAGTGGCTGCGGATTGCTTCACAATGCTTCACAGCTAAACCCCTTGCTCCACCAGGGAGGCCTGAGAGCAATTATCTTTTGGCTTCAAAAGATGTGTGTCTTCAGAAAAGCTTCGCAGATGCCAGGACAGTGAAGGACTTGAAGAAATTCTCCCATGTTTTTCGCATCCTATTCCTGACTTACTTTCTTGTTTTCTTTCCTCCAGAACCTTTCAGCTGTTGGGGCATTGGTGGCTCTCAGTAATGCACGTCTTGGTTCTATCAAAACTCGGTAAGTCTTTAACTGCTTTTTCTCCAGGGGGATGTTTCCTTAGGAAGTGGGCTGTACATCAGTCTATCTGTCTGTACTATAAATGGATGTAAGGGATTTCTCCATTCACAAAAAAGTGGAGAGTTTCATTTTCTTTGAGTGCTTACTTGAGTGAAACCCATTCCAACTCCTCAGTTTCCTATGCCCTAGCAGTGATTACCTCTATTTTCTTTGTTTGCTGCCTGCATCTCACTTCAAGTCCTCCAAGTATCTTAGGAGTTAGAAACCACGGTAGATTTGGAGGTGATGTCTTGCTCTAGCTCACTGAGAGTAAAGGAATGATAATCACTTTGTCTGAAGTCTTGCCTCCACCTGCTTGTCATCATTCACTTTTTTTCTTTTAAGATTTGAGGGCCTATGTCTGCTGTCCCTGCTGGTGGGGGAGAGCCCCACAGAGATGTTCCAGCAGCACTGTGTCTCTTGGCTTCGGAGCATTCAGCAGGTCTTGCAGGTAAGGAATCGCTGAGCTGCCGCCCATCTATCCTCCTTCCCCAACCCTCCTTGTTCTTCATTATGTGGTGTGTTCTCTGTAGCATGGACGTTTAGTTTTGAGGACCCAGTGATTAGAAGCAGTTTCCTGATAGCAGGGAGGATAGACCTTAAATAGAAACATCTTTTTAATTTTTCTTTTAAGATTTATTTATTTATGCATGCAAGAGCTGGGGTACAGGCCAGAAATGCACGGCGTGAGAGGATCCACCAGACAGAGTGGGGAACAGAACAGGCAGATTGACTGAAATACACTGTTGAGGGGAGTAGCGGGCAAGACAGGAGAGGTCTGCTATGCCATGTGGGTTGCTTCCTGGCCAGCTGGGGATCGAACTCATATTGCAGAGGCTGTGGATTGTTTCACAGTGTGGTGCTTAACCCCTTGTGCCACCAGGGAGGCCCTTTAAACTTTTTGATATTTTTATCTTGGGGGTTATTTTAATTCATCTGACCTTTCCCACACTGTAACCTCTGACAGTTTCATTTCCTTGTTTTTCTTATGAGGGGCATCTCTATAGTTTCTTTTTCTAGGTTTTTGATTTTTTTTTGTATGCATTCCTTTCTACTCTTAATATTTTTTTCCTATTTTTACATCCTCCAGTGATGTTTCTACTTAGTTCTTTTTTTCAAAGATTTATTTATTTATATAAGCACTGGGTACAGTCAGAAGTGTGGGAGGGTGAGAGAATTCACCAGAGCCAGAGCGGGGAGCAGAGCAGGCAGACCAATGAAATACACTGCTGAGGGGAGCAGGCGTGGCAGGAGAGGTCTGTCGCACCATGTGGGACCCTCGCCGGCGGCCAGGGATTGAACTGGCGCTGCAGAGGCTGCGGGCAGCTTCGCAGCCCAGCGATCAACCACTGAGCCACCAGGGGAGGCCCCTTAGTTCTTTTTTTTTTTTTTTATAAATTATTTTTTTAATTTTTATTTTTTACATCATTGTTCATTTTTAAGCAATGTTTGCTCCCCCCACTCCCTCAGGTGTAGTCCAATTTACTCCTAAATCAGAGTAAAAACCACCCTGATCACCACCACACATATCCCATCAGTCTCCTCTTCCATGCTCTCAGAGAAACATACTCCTTACCTCCATAGTGCCTGCCTCAGTTTGTCATTTCACACTCTTTGTCCAAATATTCAATTAAAGTCTCTTTCACTAGAATGAGGATCAGCAAACTGTGGTCTGTGGGAACCTGTTTTTGCATGATCCACAAGCTAATGATGGTTTTTAGATTTTTAAAGGGTTAGGAAACAAAACAATATGCAACCATATGAAGCCTAAAATGTTTCCTAACTGTAATCTTTACTTCATAGAAAGTGTCCTAACCCTGCACACCTGAAGCACCACAAAAACAGAGTGGTGGCCTACAACCCAGTTCTTGTATGCATAAATAAATTAAAACCTTTAGCTCTGCCCATCCGAAGATTTGCAAGTGAGCTGCTGTGGCTGGGGTTGATGAAATGTGGCTAGGGTGGTAGGTAAGTGGTGATCAAGCCATGTTCAGCCTCTGAGTGTGTTAAGGAGTTTGATTTTATTCTTGGGACAATTAGAATTCATGTAGAGCTTTTTGTAGAGAAGAGGAGGTCGTTGTGGTGGTGACATAATCAGATTTTCACTTAAAAATATCACTGGCAGGGCCTCCCTGGTGGCGCAGCGGTTGAGCGCTGGGTTGCAAAGCTGCTCTGCAGCGCCGGCTCGATCCCCGGCTGCTCCTGGGCCACTGGAGGAGGGTCCCACATGGCGCGCAGACCTCTCCTGCCGCCCGCTTCTCCCCTCAGCAGTGTACTTCGGTCCTTCTGCCTGCTCTGCTCCCCATTCTGGCTCTGGTGAATTCTCTCACCCTCCCGCGCTTCTGACTGTACCCAGTGCTTGTATAAATAAATAAATATATATCTTAAAAAAAAAAAAAATCACTGGCTGTTGAATAGAGGAAAGATTATAAAGAAGCCAGAATGGAAGCAGAAAAACCATGAAAAAAGCAACGAAAATAACTAAAAACATTCCTTGATGTTGGACTAGAGTGGTGACAGTAGAAGTGATGAGAAGTAGCTGGATTTCAAGAGAGATTTAGAGGCAGAGTGAACAGTTCCTGATTGAAATAGGGTCAGAAAGAGAGTCAGTTGTATTTAGGAGGATTTCTGATGGGAAGTCAGGTTCAGAAGGGAGGAGTGAAAATACCAGGATTGTAACCTTAGGCCTTCAGTGAAGCCCCATTAGTAAGTATACCCCTGATCTGGTGCAAATGGAAGTGGTCAGATATCTCAGTGTAACCTTGAGGATTCTGTGGATGGGAGACTTCAGTCTGTATGTTACAAAGGGGGAGGATTCTTTAGTATTTAGATGGCAGTTAAAGCTGAGAATGAGGATGAGATTATCAAGATGAGTCCCTTAAATGTACTTTAAGGCAATCCATATTTAATGGTCAGGTAAAGGAGAATGAGCTTACAAAGCAGATAGAGCAGCAGAATGGTGGTAATGAGAATTTTTGGTTGAATGAAATCAAGGGAAGAGCCTTCAGGGAAGATGGAGGATTCATTCCTGTTTACGCTCTCTGAGTTGGAATAAAACAGATTAAAAATTGCTTATCAAGTTTAGAAACTGAGGGCATATAAGCTAGTGAAAGTGTTTTTAAGTGGAGCAGTAGACATTGAAGCCACATTGGCATGGGATGAGAAGGAATAGAAATAGGGAAGATAGGTAGTCTTTTAAAGGGAGAGAAATTGTTTAATGACTGAAATTGGACAAATGTATAGGCTTAACTATACATTTGGGACTTACTATACATTTGGGCTTAACTATACAAGAGGGACTTTTAAGATGGGAGACACTTCAGCATGTATAAATGTCAATGGGAAGAATCCATTTGAGAGGGACAGGTTGGAAATCCAGCAGAAAGTTAATAGTATAAGGTTTTGAGATGAAGGGAGGGACTAGGATCTAAAGCACAGTGGATGGGAGGTGGGGTGACAACAGCATGGTGGAGTATTTGCTGACAAACCTCTCCTTAAGGACAACCAAAAATAAAACATTACCCAGACAAATCTCACCAGCTCATCACTCGCATTGCTGGATTGACCCACACATTTTTCTGGTGAGTGTATTTTTACTTGCTAAGGTTTTGGAGCAGGAAGAGAGGAGGGGTGCCTTGGACATTCTGGGTGTAAGAACAAGCTAGAGTCCCAGGCCAGCACAGGGACTGTGAATGAAATACTGAGTCCTGGGAAATGGTTCTGACTGAGCCCTGGAACAGACTGATTAGCTCCAGAATGCTGGACAGTAGCAGAATACCATCCTCTCACCCCTCTGGGAGGGAGGAGTGAGTTCTTTTGAGGCTGGAGAGAAATTTGATGTGAACTGTGAAGTCTCCCTTCACTTTATTGAGACAGGGATGTGGGATGCAGCTCTGGGCATTGAACAACAGCAGCACAGGCTTCCTAGCCCTTGTCTGCTTCCTCTTACCAGCAGTGATCACTGTTACTCAAGACATCGGCATTCTCACTTCCCAACACTTCCCTCTTCTGACGCTTTGATAAACAAGGAAGATCCCGAAACTAAAGCTACAGTACCACCTGCTGGGGAAGGGGGTTAATAACACTTATGTGAAAAGTGTTAACCAAGGGAACACAATATAGAAAAAGGTACCGGAGCTGAATCCAAGCTTTATGAATCAGAATTGAGGGAGGTAACAGACATAGGGTTCAGAATAGCAATTGTGAAGAAACTTAGCGAAGTTTGACACTTACAGTTAAACACAGGCAGGACATCAGAAAAAATATCTAGGAACATAAGGGATTCTTTACCAAAGAAATTGAAGCTATTAAAAAAAGCTCAAGAGGGCCTCCCTGGTGGTGCAAGGGGTTAAGTTTCAGCACTTTTGTGCTGTCAACAGCCACTGCAGCACGAGTTCGATCCATGACCAGGGAGCTGACCCACATGGCGTAACAGATCTCTCTTGCTGCTGCTCCCCTCAGTAGTGTATTTCAGTAGATATGCCTGTTCTGCTCCCTACTCTGTCTCTGATGAATCCTCTCACCCCCTGCGCCTCTCGCCTACACCCCAGCTCTTGAAATGTGAAAGAACTAAAAGCAATAGAATTATTGGACAGTATGGATACCCATTATAGTTAGTAGACTCACTTATTTTTACTTTCTTAATATGCTTTCTCATTTGTTTTGTTATCACATGGCCTCCACTGGTCTAGCAGGAGGTGTGAACTAAATGCTTTTTCCTTAGATACATGTTAATTTTCTAGGGAAGTCCTAAATTCAGCCATTTTTTCATCATGAGTTCTAGGGTAGGTTTGAGCCAACTAGAAACAAACTTGGAAAATGGGTGATTTTGTTGTGACTGAGACTTTTTTTTAATTCTGAGACATCCCTTTCCATTCCTAGCAGAGAAATATAGAATGGGTAAATCAAAAATTTCTTGAGATCTGCCAGTTAGTCAGATCTTTACGGTGTGACCTCAGATATGCTGAAAAACTAAAATATAAGCACATGTCCTTTTTCTTTTTTAAAAAGATTTATTTATTTAGGCATACAAGAGCTGGGTGTAAGCCAGAGGTGCGGGGGGTACGAGGATTCACCAGAGACAGAGTGGGGAACAGAACAGGTGGGTTAACTGAAATACATTGCTGAGAGGAGCAGCAGGTGAGTCAGGAGAGGTCTGCTGCGCCATGTGGGTAGCTCCCTGGCTGGGGATCAAACTCATGCTGCAGTGGCTGTGATTACTTCATAGTGTTGAGACAACCCCTTACACCACCACATGTCCTTTTTATAGACAAATACATTAATTTTTGATACTCATATCTCAAATATGCACTCTCTTAGTGGTCTTGATGGTAATATTGACATTAATTGGTGTTTCTCAAAAGCCCCTTGTTGTCATACCTTTTGTTCCTCCTCTTGGTGGCCATGGGGCATGGGGTGGTGTTGTTGTTTAGTCCCAGGACCCACCCCCCACAATGGAGTTGGCTGTGGCTGTCCTGAAGGACCTGCTTCGATATGCTGCCCAGCTTCCCACACTCTTCCGGGACATCTCAATGAATCACCTTCCTGGCCTTCTCACCTCCCTGCTAGGCCTCCGACCAGAGGTGAGATACCTCTTCCATCCCCCTGGGATGGAAGTACCTACCTTCACTCACACTGATTGGATGAAGAATGTGATGGGAAATGATTGGGGAGTAGGATTGAAGAAGTGAGAAGAGGGGAGGGCCAAGAAAAGGTGCATGGAGAAATAACCGCAAGGGGTCAGGTGAGGGTTGGAGGTGGACATTGGGGGGTATTGGCTCTCACTCTTCCTGACTTGCTGTTTTTCCCACAGTGTGAGCTCTCAGCACTGGAGGGCATGAAGGCGTGTATGACCTATTTTCCTCGGGCTTGTGGTTCTCTCAAAGTAAGTATCATGGAAAGTTCTTCCACTATTATAAATCTTGATAGTTGTCTTACCTCAGATTCTGTTGCTGAGATTTTCTAAACTCATATCTTCTCATGTTCTTTCAAAGTCATCTACATCCATGGCTTTTATTGTACCACTTTTAGGAGTTCAAATACATCATTTCTTTTAATCTTCATAGATAAAGAAATAGCCTGAGATCTGTAGAGATTAGAACATATATCTCTCTAATATCAAAGCCCAGAAAATTTTTTTTTAAAGATTTCTTTATTTATGCACACAAGAGCTGGGGTGTAGGCAGAGGTGCAGAGGGGTGAGAGGATCCACCCAGAGACAGAATGGGGAACAGAACAGGCAGACTGACTGGAATACACTGCTGAGGGGAACAGCGGGCAAGACAGGAGAGGTCTGCTGCACTATGTGAGTCATCTCCCTGGCTGGGGATCGAACTCTAGCTACAATAGCTGCGGATTGCTTCGTAGTACTGACGCTTAACCCCTTGCACCAACAGGGAGGCCTCTCAAAGCCCAGGGTTTTAACCATGGATTCTTTCCTCTTTCTGTCTTGCCTTCTCTGGACCACTAGAATGCCTTGCCCATTTTTCTACCATCCTATCTTAGTAAGTTCCTCCAAGAAGCCTTCCTGACTTTACTTTCCTACAGCACCCTCCCCAACTCTTCTCTCTCCTGTGTCACTTCCCCATCCTTTTCTCCAAGCTGTCATGACCCACACAAGGTGCCTGTATAGTAAAGGCTGTGTTTGAGGCAGGTAAGGGGGGAAGTTAGTGAATGAATTGCAGTTTTCTTTTCTTTCTTTTTATTATTTATTTAAATTTTTTTAAAAGATTTATTTATTTATATAAGAACTGGAGTACAGAGGCACGGGAGGGTGAGAGAATTCACCAGAGACAGAATGGGGAGCAGAACAGGCAGACAACCAAAATACACTGCTGAGGGGAGCAGCGGGCGTGGCAGGAGAGGTCTGCTGCACCATGTGGGATTCTCCCTGGCGGCCAGGATTGATCCCGTGTTGTAGAGGCTGCAGACAACTTCATAGCGCGGCGCTCAACTCGCTGTGCTATTTTCAAGGAGATACAGTAATAGATGTGAATGAATAACAAGTGCTGCCAAAGCAGTAAGTTAAAGGACAATTTATAATTGCCACATTATTGTTTGCAGTATAATTGATGCCAACTAGTACCTAACAACACCAGTTCTCTCTTATTTTGTTATGTACTCATCATTGCTTGACAAACTGTTGGACATCCTGTGGAAGCCCAAGTCTGTAGATAACTGGGATTAATGGCAAATTAATAATTTTTTTTTTGTATATTGCTGTGTTTAGCTGTATTGATCCATATTATCAATTGGGGGAAGTTTGCCTTTCAGATTACCTTGAAAGTAAGATTACTTGGTTCTATGATCAAGTCAAGAAAATTAGAAAAAAGAGCTGGTATTTAGTGGGTACCTGTCATACGCCAAGTGCTCTGCTGAGTGTTTAAGAGGTATAGTCTCAGTTGATCATTAGAGTGATTTGGTAAAATTGTTGTCACCTCAATAAGCAGAGGAGGAAAATTGTTGTCAAATCAGTAAACAGACCCAGATGGATTATAACTAACTTAAGGTTATATATGTGGTAGTTGTAAAAGCAGGGTGTGAGCCACGTCTATATACATTTAACACTCCCCCCCCCCCCCCCGCCCCCGCCCCCGCCCCAGCCAAACTCCTTGGAAGCTGTTATGAATGTAAACAGGATTGGCAGGTAGGTGTAAACACCACTGCCAGCTCTGATCTGTTAGTGGCATCAGAAGGATTGTGAGCCAGATACAGAGCTCTACGGGCACGTTGCTGGGACCTGGGAGTGGTGTCTGCTGAAGCTCTAAGTAACTGGCTACTTGCAGAATCTGAAAAGTCCCTGAGCAGATGCTATTTCTCAGTGAACATAGTATCATCTTGGTTCTTGTTTTTGTGTGAATACCACTAATGACAGGCAATAGAATCTTTGGGTAGGCCGGGCAGGACTTTGTTAAGAAGGCATTTAGAGTAACTCGTGGGTTTTACTAAAGTTTAGTAAGTGAGTTTTTAAACTAAAGTTTTACTGTGTTTATAAAAACTGCCATTATTTTAAAATGGTCTGTAAATTAATTTCTCAAATTTCATGGGCAGATCTTCGTCCCTGATGCCTCATTGGTTAAATTTCGTGGTTTACTGTAAATATCTATTTTGTGTCACTTCGGTTAGGGGTTGTATGTACTTGCGTGTCCGTTCCCCCCCCCCCCACCCCCCCATGAAAGTAAAGGGAGAATTGAGTGTTTTCTGCAGGGTTGCGACTTGAATAGTCATGGAGACAAGGATGCCAAATGTTTCTGATATTGATGCATTTTAGTTTTCAGTGTGAGTGGTTAGTTCATCGATAGGAGTCATCGATAATTTACAGCCTTTTGTCAGGCGGAATTTCTGAAGTTCTGGCCTGCATCTTGAGTACCCTTTTCAAAACAAATAACAAAACTTGCGTAAGTTGTTACTGGGAGTTTATGCCCTTACTTCTCTATGAATGAAGCGTTTTCTGGAGAACTTCCCTCTGTTGAGGAATTTGACTTTGTTGCCAACATATCAGATAAGAATTTTGTGTAAAGTCCCCAGGGGGCCTTTGTACTTGGAAAGTCTTGCAGACAAGTTCTTAGGAAACTGATAATTGCTCTTTAGGGGTGTTTATCTGTTCTCTTGTCTCCCAGAAGCCATTGTGATCTCCAAATTCAGGATTACTCTTCCCAAATGACGTATCTCAAATATTCTGTGTCTATGAAGTCAATCCCTGTAAGGCTTTACCTCTCCTGGCCAAATAGATCAAGTAGTTCCTTGGAATGAGTGGACAACATCCCTACTCTTTCTTTCTTTCTTTTTTTTTTTTTTTTTTTTTTTTTAATTTTCTAGAGGCATGTCTTATTTATCTATTTGTTTGTTTGTTTGTTTGGTTTATACATGCACTGGGTACAGTCAGAAGCCGGGAGGGCGAGAGAATTCACCAGAGCCAGAGCCGGGAGTAGAGCAGGCAGAAGGACCGAAGTACACTGCTGAGGGGAGCAGCGGGCGGCAGGAGAGGTCTGCGCGCCATGTGGGACCCTCCTCCCATGGCTGGGGAGCAGCCGGGGATCGAACCGGCGCTGCAGAGGCCGCGGGCAGCTTCGCAACCCAGCGCTCAACCGCTGCGCCACCTGGGAGGCCCTTCTTTTTTTTTTTTTTTAAACGATTATTTATGCATGCAAGAGCTGGGGCTCAGGCCAGAGATGTGGGGGGTGAAAGAATTCACCAGAGCCAGAGCAGGGAACAGAACAGGCAGACTGACAAAATACACTGCTGAGAGGAGCAGCGGGCGAGAAAGGAGAGGTCTGTCACGCCATGGGGGACCCTCCCGGTGGCCGGGGATCGAACCTGCGCTGCAGAGGTTGCAGGCACCTTCGCAGCCCGGCGCTCAACCGCTGTGCCACCAGCGGAGGCCCTTTTTTTTTTTTTTAAGATTTATTTATTTATGCATACAAGAACTGGGGTACAGGCCAGAGGTGTGGGGGGTGAGAGGGTTCACCAGAGTGGGGAACAGAACAGGCAGAATGACTGAAATACACTGCTGAGGGGAGCAGCAGGCGTGACAGGAGAGGTCTGCTGCACCATGTGGGTACCTTCCTGGCTGGGGATCAAACTTGTGCTGCGGTGGCTGTGGATAGCTTTATAGGTTGCATTTTAACCCCTTGTGCCACCAGGGAGGCCCTAGCCCTACTCTTGAGAGATGCTCAGACATGCTGTGCGTGCCTGCATGAGTGTGTGGCTGCGTGAGTGCGTGCCTGCACTGTACTCTGCTCTGCTGCAGTCACATACCAGACTCCTGATGGCCTCAGCCCAGCTTTTGAAACCAGAGACTCAGGGAAAATGTGAGTAGTAAGTTGGCCAAAAGGGCTGAGTTCCACCATAGCTGGAGTGTGGCAGTTCTTTAAGAAATATCATCCTTGGGGACGTTGGTGAATTAGACCTGTGGGTGGTTACCTGTCTGGGTTTGAAGTGTTGTGAAATTCTCTCACATCAGACATGAAAGTGCTTTCCAAGTCCCAAGGTAAATGGTTCTAGAACTTCTTTGATCCTGGGAATGGCTGTAATAGTGTTTGCTTCAGTCAGTAAGAATTCTGAAGTGTAATGTGGGCAATTAAATATGCAGGCTAGAGGAGAAGGAGTCCTGCAGGATTGCTTTCTGACAGGCTTCTACTTCTGCCCATTGCCTGGTGCCAGGTTGTCTTCCAGAAGTTTACCACTCTGTGTGTGAATCCCTTCCCCTAAATCCATGCTTCCAAGATTTAGATTTCAGACCGTATTCTGTTTCTCCACAAGTATCTCTGATTTTGTAGCCCAGCACAGTCCTGCCTCCCAGCATCAGTAGCTCTGCCTCCTGCTTGGTTTAGAGCCAGTGTGGCCATCAGGTTCCTGTTTTCCATACACTTAGAATGTCTTCTGAGCCAGCTCTTGTAGCCCACTTAAGGAGGTCTGCTTCAACATGCTTCACCTTTTTTGTGCCATGAAGCTGTTCTCAGTGTTTTTAGATCATAAAAAATTAAAAAGCATGGAATTGCAGGAAAGTGGATTTTGTTGAAAATATGTATTTTAAAATTGTGCTACAGTAGTATGTGCTTCTTTACTAACAAGACTAGAACCAGGGGCCTCGCTGGTGGCACAGGTGGTTGAGCGCAGCACTGTGAAGCTGTCCGCAGCCTCTGAAGTGCAGGTTAGATCCCTGCCGACCGCAGAGATACCCACATGGCGGGGCAGACCTCTCCTGTCTTGCCCGCTGCTCCTCTCAGCAGTGTATTTCGGTTGGTCTGCCTGTTCCCTGCTCTGCCTCGGGTGAATCCTCTCACCCTCCTGTACATCTGGCCTGTACCCTGATTCTTGTATAAAAATAAATCTTTAAAAAAATAAAAAGACCAGGGCCTTCCCTGGTGGCGCAGCGGTTGAACACTGGCCTGCAAAGCTGCCCGCAGCCTCTGCAGCGCCTGTTTGATCCCCAGCCCCTGGCGAGGGTCCCACATGGTGCGACAGACCTCTCCTGCCGTGCCCGCTGCTCCCCTCAGCATTGTATTTCATCAGTCTGTCTGTTCTGTTCCCCACTCTGGCTCTGGTGAATTCTCTCACCCTCCTGCACTTCTGACTGTACCCAGTGCTTGTAAATAAATAAATCTTAAAACAAAACAAAACAAAAAAAGACTAGCACCAGGTCTAATGACTACTGAAGTTTCTTTCTTTTTTTTTTTTTTTTAAAGATTTATTTATTTATGCATACAAGAACTGGGGTACAGGCCAAAGGTGGGGCAGGGGAGAAGATTTACCAGAGACAGAGTGGGGAACAGAACAGGAGGATTGACTGAAATATACTGCTGAGGGGAGCAGGGGAGAGACAGGAGAGGTCTGCTGTGCCATGTGGGTCACCTCCCTGGCCGGGGATCGAACTCGTGCTACAGTGATTGTGGATAGCTTCATAGGCTGCGTCTTAACCCCTTGCGCCACCAGGGAGACCCCAGAAGTTTCTTATTGGTTATGCATATGAAAGATATTTTCAGATACATCTTGCAGTTATAATGTGAGATGAAAATATAGAGATTTCTACTAGTGACAGTCAGAGGTAACTGTTAATACTACTGTGACTTTTTTTTTTTTTTAAGATTTATTTATTTATGCATACAAGAGCAGGGGTACAGACCAGAGATGTGGGGGGTGAGCGGATCCACCAGAGACAGAGTGGGGAACAGAACAGGCAGACTGGCCGAAATACACTGCTGAGGGGAGCAGCAGGAAAGACAGGAGAGGTCCGCTTTGCCATGTGGGTTTCTCCCTGGCCAGCCGGGGATCGAACTCGTGCTATAGAGGCTGTGGATTGCTTCATAGTGCGGTGCTTAATCCCTTGCGCCACCAGGGAGGCCCACTACTGTGACGTTTTAATCTACATTTATAATTGAAAAAAATAAGTTTCACTTATAGGTCAGTGAAAATGATAAAAAAAAAAAATTTTCCCATCTGTGTGTATAGGCCCCTTAGATTCTATCTTCAAATAAATAGTGACACCAGATTAAGCACTCTTGTGCCAGCACCTCCATGTAGCAGGCAGGGGAATGTCTGGTAATAGGCCCATGTTCTGAGAGGTTCTGCTCTGCAGCCTTATCTTCTCACTTGAGCTTGTCCTTCCTCATACCTCTGGTTAGTACCTCACCTCTCAGCTTGGATCCTATTTCTCGCTTAAGCTGGTAGAGAGTGGGAGAAGGCTTAGTGCTTTTCAGTGTTCTGTGTCCTTTTGGCTTGAGGAAGATGATTATTGATTTGTAAAAAATTGGCAGGAGAGAGCCCAGTTGTCTGGGTGGCATGGGCCAGACCCTTCTCTGAACAGGGAGGCTAAGACTAGAGCTGGTAATCAGGATGTTTTTCTACGTTTGCTCCCAGGTGTTGACACCCCTTAGAGCACCTTGCTCGCTGTGTCAGCAGGAAAGAAAAAGGCCTTGGCCTATATGCTGCTGCTGGGAATGGATAGGATGCCTCTTTCTGACCTTTAAAGATGACTCACCAGTCTTTTCCTTTCTTTCTTCCCATCCAGGGCAAACTTGCTTCATTTTTCCTGTCTCGGGTAGATGCGTTGAGCCCTCAACTCCAGCAGGTAAAGGGAAAGCAGGGAGATAAGAGCCTGGGGTTCTGAGGCCCAAGCTTCTCTACCCATTAGTCTTAGTTTTTTTCTCTGTTTCTGCATTGGGACCGTGTTCCCACTTCTTTCTCTGCTAGCATACATGAGTCACCTTCCTCTGTGGTTCCATCTGTGTTCTGCCCCATCCCATGTTCTGTCAGAGTTCTCTTGGATCTCCATTTTTCCTGGCATCAGTGGCATGGAGGGATTCTGTGATGGGCAAGATTCCCATCTAACCAGTTTTTGATCTTTCTTTTGCAGCTGGCCTGTGAGTGTTATTCCAGGCTGCCCTCTTTGGGGGCTGGCTTTTCCCAGGGCCTGAAGCACACCGAGAGCTGGGAGCAGGAGCTGCACAGCCTGCTGGCCTCCCTGCACAGCCTGTTAGGGGCCCTGTATGAGGGAGCAGAAAACGGTAGGGACCGTGGTTGGTAGTGAGAGGCAAAGTGTTTGGGGAGCTTGGCAGGAGGGAACCAGGAGGGTGGCTCACAGAAGCCAGGCAGTTCATTTCTGGGCAAAATGAATTAGAATTTAAATGGGTCCTTAATGAAAAAAGGAAGGGACTAAAGAAAGACCTAGAATGTGAAAGTGCTAATGTTCCTATCTAGCACCTACACAGCATGAGGGCCCAGGAGTGGAGACGCTGCTTTCCTCCTCAGAAGATGGTGATGCCCATGTCCTTCTCCGGCTTCGGCAGAGGTTTTCTGGACTGGCCCGCTGCCTGGGGCTCATGCTGAGGTGTGTGAGTGAATGATGGAGGGAGCAAGGGTGCCTGGAGCAGCGGGGTGCTGAGATGGGAGGGTGTTGTCTTCTCCTGGAGGAGGACATTGAGGGTGGGCGTGGGAGTCTTGCTGGGGAACCTGCGCTGAGGGTCTTGCTGCTCTGGTTCTCTTTAGCTCAGAGTTTGGGGCTCCTGTATCCGTCCCTGTGCAGGAAATCCTAGATGTCATCTGTCGGACCCTCAGCATCAGTGCCAAGAACATTGTAAGTGGAGTTTGTCCTTCGTTCCTAGCCCTCGCTCAGGACCAGGGAAGCATTGTGGAGCATCTGATGCTGCAGAAACAGTGTCATTCCTTTGGTTGTCCTGGGCATTCCTTCCTGTTGTCCAAAAGCCATCATTTGGTGTGCTTTTCCTGACACACGCACGCACGCACGCACACACACATACGTCAGAGTGCTTCACTCACGAATTTCAGGAACACTTGTAGCAGATATTCTCCCAGGTGTTGGCTGAGTCCTTAGCCATCCTGCCTTTCATCCTCCTTCCAGGGTGTGATTTTTTTTTTTCCGGGGGGTGGGTGTGATCTTGTTAGGAGAACTGGGACTGTGGGTGATTTACCTATGGATACACGTGTATTTAATGACACACATCTACTCTGCTTCTATCTCTGTCTTACTTTCTTCCTCTTGCTAATTTGTTCTCCAGAGCTTGCTTGGAGACGGTCCCCTGCGCTTGCTGCTGCTGCCTTCTATCCACCTGGAAGCCTTGGACCTGCTCTCTGCGCTCATCCTCGCGTGAGTGGCATCGGGCAGGTGTGGTTCAGGACTGGGACGTGCTGGGGATGACGGTCACTGTCCTGTCTTTGCCCCCAGGTGTGGAAGCCGGCTCTTGCGCTTTGGGGCCCTGATAAGTCGCCTGCTTCCCCAGGTCCTCAATGCCTGGAGCATTGGAAGGGATACCCTCTCTCCAGGCCAGGAGAGACCTTACAGGTGACCTTCAAGGAGGGGTGAGAAAGAGAGGGTGGGTGGGGACTGCAGGTGGACTGGGTTTTCCAAGAGGCAGGGAGTAGCAGGGAATCTGAGGTAGACCTAGGTACATCAGCTTCCCTTTCACGAGCTGCCCTTTTTGCTCACTCCACAGCACCATGCGAACCAAGGTGTATGCTGTTTTAGAGCTGTGGGTGCAGGTTTGTGGGGCCTCAGCAGGAGTGCTTCAGGGTGGTGCCTCGGGAGAGGCCCTGCTCACCCATTTGCTCAGTGACATCTCCCCTCCAGCTGATGCCCTGAAGGTGAGTGAGGCCTCTGCTCCCATCCCAGGACACTCCTCCTGTGCCCTTTGTCCAAATGAGCCTCCTTCCCAAACACTATCTCCTGACTCTTCTGCCTTCCTCTTTCGTGATTTATGTTTCCCTCTGCCACCAGCTGCGCAGTCCTCGCGGGAGCCCTGATGGGGTTTTGCAGACTGGGAAGCCCAGTGCCCCCAAGAAACTAAAGCTGGATATGGGTGAGGCTGTGGCTCCACCCAGCCACCGGAAAGGGGACAGCAATGCCAACAGTGACGTGTGTGCAGCTGCACTGAGAGGTGGGTGAGCTCTGTACCCTCTAGTGCTGGGATGACCTAGGCTAAGAGCCCAAAACCAGTGTTGAAGTATGGGGGTGGGGATGGGGAGGAGGTGGAGGGGAATGAGGGTGTAGATAAAATGCAGAACCAGCTAAAAGTCTGCATAGAAGTCAAAAAACTAAAAGAAGAGCTAAAGCAGCTTTGCAACTACCAGGGCAGCAGGAGAGGAGTCTCTGGTAATTTATACTGTCCCTCCAGGGTCTCAGTTATCTGTTCAACAAACACTTTGTTTTTGTTGACACATATACTCTATGTGCCAGGCACTGTTCTCTAGCACTTGGCAGAAAATCCCTGCCTGTAGAGTTTACATTCTCCTCAGAGCAGGCTGTCCACCGCCCAGTTTCTGATTCCAACTGGTCTATAAACAGTCTGTGCAGTCTATAACTACACAGTTCCTGTGCAGTTAATGGGTGACTCTTTTGAGGCCTATATATTTCACTGCCCCACCATTCCACCCTGTTTGAAAAGGAGACAGTTCTCCCTAAATATATAAATGCACATTTATAATGTTGATCTCCTACCGTCTCACCTGCATATTGTCAGTAGTCCTGTGTAGTAGAGGTATTTTTCTGATCCTCGTTTTGTAGTCAAGAGAGCAGACTTAGAGGAGTTAAGTGGCTTGCCCAAGTCAGGCTTTGCAAAGCTGGATGCTCACCTTGGCTGTGTGTTTCAGAAGCCCTTGCTTTTACTCCTCTTGGTAGCCTGCCTCTTACCCACTATACTCTTTCCTCAGGCCTCAGCCGAGCCATTCTCATGTGTGGACCTCTTATCAAGGAAGAGACTCACAGGGTTAGTGGAGCCTGGTCCCCATGGAAATTGGGGTGGGGGGCTGCTGTTCTGTAAGTGTTGGGAGGTGTGCTCTGAGAGGTGGGTCCATTCAAACCTGGGAGTAGGCCAGGAGAGGGGTTGGGTGGTCTTGGAGATGTTTCCAGGTATATACTGTGTCCTTTTCAGAGACTGCATGATCTGGTGCTGCCCCTGGTCATGGGTGTCCAGCAGGGGGAGGTCCTAGGCAGCTCCCCGTATACCAGCTCCCGCTGCCGCCGCGAGCTCTACCGGTTGCTGCTGGCTCTGCTGCTGGCACCTTCTCCTCGCTGCCCGCCTCCTCTCTCCTGTGCCTTGCAGGCCTTCTCCCTTGGCCAGAGAGAAGACAACCTTGAGGTAACTGCTGACTGGAGCTGAGTCTACTCTTTGGTTTTGGATTCTTATTTCTGATGCTGGTGGGCTCTTGGTCTTCAAACCCATGAAAACCTGCTCATGCTTGTCCTTTCTTCCTTAGGTCTCTTCTTTCTGTGCAGAAGCGCTGGTGACCTGTGCCGCTCTGACCCATCCCCGGGTTCCACCCCTGCAGTCCATGGGCCCTAGCTGCCCTACAGCTGCACCGGTTCCCCCTCCTGAGGCCCCATCTCCATTCAGAGCTCCACCCTTTCATCCCCCAGGCCCCATGCCCTCAGCAGGCCCTGTACCCTCAGTGGGCCCCATGCCCTCAGTGGGCCCCATGCCCTCGGCAGGCCCCATGCCCTCAGCAGGCTCCATGCCCTCAGTGGGCCCAATGCCCCCGACACGCCCTGGACCTCCAGTTACAGCTAACCACTTAGGCCTCTCTGTCCCAGGCCTAGTGTCTGTACCCCCGCGACTCCTTCCTGGCCCTGAGAACCATAGGGCAGGCTCAAATGAGGACCCTGTCCTTGCCCCTAGTGGCACTCCTCCACCTATACCCCCAGATGAAACTTTTGGGGGGAGAGTGCCCAGACCAGCCTTTGTCCACTATGATAAGGAGGAGGCATCCGATGTGGAGATCTCTTTGGAAAGCGACTCTGATGACAGCGTGGTAATCGTGCCTGAGGGACTGCCTCCCCTGCCACCCCCACTCCCTTCAAGTACCACATCCCCTCCTGTAACCCCAGCCGGGCCACCAACAGCTTCTCCTCCTGTGCCAGCCAAGGAGGAACCTGAAGAACTTCCCGCAGCCCCTGGCCCTCTCCCGCCACCTCCACCCGCTCCGGTTCCTGGCCCTGTGACACTTCCACCACCCCAGTTGGTCCCTGAAGGGACTCCTGGTGGGGGGGGACCCCCGGCCCTGGAAGAAGATTTGACAGTTATTAATATCAACAGCAGTGATGAGGAGGAGGAAGAGGAGGAGGAGGAGGAAGAGGAGGAGGAGGAGGAGGAAGAGGAGGAAGAGGATTTTGAGGAGGAAGAAGAGGATGAGGAAGAGTATTTTGAAGAAGAGGAGGAGGAGGAAGAGTTTGAGGAAGAATTTGAAGAAGAGGAAGGTGAATTAGAGGAAGAGGAGGAGGAGGAGGAGGAAGAAGAGGAGGAGGAGCTGGAAGAGGTAGAGGAGTTGGAGTTTGCCTCCGCAGGAGGGGATGCAGAAGAAAGCGGGCCTCCACCCCCAAGCCTGCCTCCAGCCCTGCCCCCGCCAGAGTCCCCCAAGGTGCAGCCTGAGCCAGAGCCGGAGCCAGAGCCTGGGCTGCTGCTGGAAGTGGAGGAGCCAGGGGCAGAGGAGGAGCCGGGGGCAGAGACGGCCCCTACACTGGCCCCTGAGGTACTCCCCTCTCAGGAGGAGGTGGAGAGGGAAGCGGGAAGCCCCCCACCAGGCCCTGCACCTCCTCAGGAGCTTGTTGAAGAGGAGCCCTCTGCTCCCCCAACTCTGTTGGAAGAAGGGACTGAAGGGGAGAGTGACAAGTTACCACTCCTACCTGAGACCTCTGAGATGGGAGAAATGGAGTCAGAGACGGAAGTGGCAGCTCTCCAGGAAAAGGTGAGCAGACCAGGCCGAAGGGTAGCTCTGGGCTGGGAAGCCCGCGCTGCGGGGAGGTGGGGTGGGGTATCTGTTTGTCCCCAGCCTGACCTGCTCGTCTGTGTATGTGCGTGTGTGGTGTTTCAAATCTTTTATCTTTATCCCTAAAAGGAACAAGATGACACAGCTGCCATGTTGGCCGACTTCATTGATTGTCCTCCTGATGACGAGAAGCCACCATCTGCCACAGAGTGTGATTCCTAGCCCTCTCCTACACTCACTCCTCATTTCCAATAAAGTTATGTCCTTGGGTATCAACTACTGCCTCCACCTTTTGCCACATCTGTCACAAGCCCCAGTGTCGGGCGGGCTCTTCAAGTTACCCAGTTTTCTCCAAATGTCTCCATAACTATCCTGTTGTTTGCCTCCTCCAGAGGAGGAGCTATTCATACAGGAGTAAGACTGCCCTGTTGCTCGATGAGTGCCAGAATTGCCCTCTGCTCTTTTTTATTTTAAAGATTTATTTATTTATGCATACGAGAACAGGGGTGTAGGCCAGAGGTGCAGGGTGTCAGAGGATTCACCAGACAAAGTGGGGAGCAGAACAGGCAGATCTACTGAAATACACTGCTGAGGGGAGGAGTGGGTGAGACAGGAGAGGTCTGCTGCGCCATGTGAGTTAGCTCCCTGGCCGGGGATTGAACTCCTGCTGCGGTGGCTGGGATAACTTGATAGTGTTGTGTCTTTAACCACTGTGCCCCCAGGCGGGCCTGCCTTCTGCTCTAGCTAATGCTAAATATATGATTGGTCATGTCTGTGGTTAAGATTAAAACGTGTAAATTTGTAATTCAAGTGTGGGAATGCGTGGGAAACTGGTATTAAGTGACCTAGCGAGCGAACCTATGTAAACGTGTGTGTGCACACAGCCCTTTGGCCTGACAGGCTGAGTCATGATGGAAGTTTAGAAAAATGAAAAGTTAGAGAAGTTTGGTCATTGAATTCTGTGAAGCTTAACTTTGGATATTGCACAGTAAAGGGGCATCCATAGTGGGTGTGAGGGATGATCTCTGTTCTAGGAATGGTCCTGCGGGTGGTAATATCTCAGTATCTTGACAAACTCACCAGCGGCCTTCCTACCCAGTCTTGAGGTCTGAAATGTGAACAGAAAGTGCTTTGGAAATGCAGAAAAGGGGGTGACTTCTCAGCTGTATCCTGAAGGCCCTGTTTAAGGAGTGACATTTTTTGAAACTTAGTAGAGATTTTTAAGTTTCCCCGAAGTAATTTTTTTTTTTTTTTTTTTTTTTTTTTATAGAGGCATGTTTTATTTATTTATTTGTTTGTTTGTTCGTTCGTTTTGTTTATACATGCACTGGGTACAGTCAGAAGCGCGGGAGGGTGAGAGAATTCACCAGAGCCAGAGCGAGGAGCAGAGCAGGCAGAAGGACCGAAGTACACTGCTGAGGGGAGCAGCGGGCGGCAGGAGAGGTCTGCACGCCATGTGGGACCTCCTCTGTGGCCGGGGAGCAGCCGGGGATCGAACCGGCACCTCAGAGGTCGCCGGCAGCTTTGCAACCCAGCGCTCAACCGCTGCGCCACCGGGGAGGCCCTCCCCGAAGTAATTATTATGTGAAATCTCAAACCTGCAGGAAAGTGGAAAGAATAGAAAACATAACCTTTGTGCAGACCTATCTGTTACTAGTGTCCTGTTGTGTTTGCTATCATCTGTGTAACTGTATGTGACATGTATTTGGAGATGCACATGTGCCCACATCTGCTTCTGTACACTCCATGTGACCGGTTATGACTAAGTGGCAGACGGAGGCCCTTCACCTCTTGAAATTCTACACATCTGTTTATTTTTCTCCATAATCAATACCACTATAAAATTGCAAAGAAGTAATATTGCACTCCAATTTCCTTATGCCTAAAATGTCTTGTAGCTCTTTGATTTTTTTTCCTCTGATTTAAGAGATTTTTCTAGGTGAGCACCAGTAAAGCTGTAAGGGTCACTGTCAGGACAAAGATGAAGTGGGAGTGTAAGACTATTTCAAATCTCACGTCTTTGTCCCTAAAAGGAGCAGGATGTAATTCAAAATGGATTCATTTCAATTCAGAATGGAAGTTTTGCGATTCAAAAATGGAAAGAATCTGAATTCTGGATACTGGAGACAGAATTGACATTGACTGAGGAAGAAAAAGACTAGTTCAGAAATCTTTCTAGATCAAATTGTGCTCTGAATAGATAACAGAATCACATGGTTAAAAACGCCAGAGGTATAGGAGTTTTGTGGAAAAGCCTTGTCCCTACGATCCTATCACCCATATTTCTACCAGGAGCTGCCAGAATTACTAGTTTTTATATATTCTTACAGAGGTAATGTGTACATATAAGCAAACGTATAAAAATCCCTTTATCAGGCCTCCCTGGTGGCACAGGGGTTAAGTCTCAGCACTATCAAGCTATCACCAGCCACTGTGGTTTGAGGGCTTGAGTTCAATTCCCCCACCAGGGAGCATCCCACATAGCACAGCAGACCTCTCCTTTCTCGCCCGCTGTTCCCCTCAGCAGTGTATTTTAGTAGATCTGCTTGTTCTGCTCCCCACTTTGGTGAATCCTCTCACCCCCTGCGCCTCTGGCCTGTGCCCCAGCTCTTATATGCATAAGTAGATAAAAATAAATATAAAAATTCTTTTATCTTCCACACAGATGGTAGTATGTTATCATTTAATATACATCACTTCATTAAGGCATAGGACTTTTTAACCAAATATTGAATAACAACTATGTAATAGGTAATTTTCTTACTAATATACACATATATTGGAGCCATAAGTTCCTAAGAGGTTACAAAGATAATATACAGTGGGTGGGGGTGACAAGGCGCCCTTCAACCAGTTTTCCCCATTCACCTGTGACTGGTACAATGCTACACCAGAAATCTCATGTTGGCACAGCGAGAGGCACTGTTTTATAGGCTGGAGATAGAGCAGTCGTCAAAATTCCTGCCTTGCCTTTATGGGATTGTGTTCTAGATGTTGGCTTGGGGTGGGCAGACTAAAATAAGCGGCAGATGGTGGTAAGCACAGTGGGGATACCCGGGGAGATGGATGGGCCTGCGCATCATTCCAGATGTATTCCCTTGAAGGGGAATAGATGAGTGTGTGTGTGTGTGTGTGTGTGTTCAGTCATGAAGTTTTCAGACATTTAGAAAAGTTGAAAGAATGATGCAGAGAATACCTATACGTCCAGCATATCTACTAGATTTGTATGTGTGTGTGCACCTTTTGGTGGGATGGTCAAGGAAGTTCTTCACGAGAAGACGATAGTGAACAGAGACCCACGGGAGTGGGAAGGAGAAGTGTGGACTTGCAGGGCAAGAGCCTTCCAGTCAGAGAGGGCACAGCAAGTGAGAAGTCCTGGAGGAGGATCATTCCTGGGATATTGGAGGAAAATAGGGAGGCTTGTGGGGGGTGAAAAAAGAGACAAGGTCAGAGATAATAGGGTAAGAGTAGGAACGGGAGGACAGTGGTCTAGGGCTTCTGGCTTCTATTCTGAAGTGGGAAGCTACTGGAGATTTTGAGCAGGGATTTGGCATAATGTGGTTTATGTGTTTTTTTTTAAGATTTATTCATTTATGCACACAAGAACTGGGGTACAGGCCAGGGCGGGGCGGGTGAGAGAACAACAAAAGACAGAGTAGGGAACAGAACAGGCAGACTGACTGAAATCCACTGCTGAGGGGAGCAGCAGGCGAGACAGGAGAGGTCTGCTGCACCATGTGGGTCAGCTCCCTGGCCAGCTGGGATCAAACTCGTGCTGCCCCCTTGGGCCACCAGGGAGGCCTTGTGGTTTATGGTTTTTTGGGGGTGTTTTTTAGATTTATTTGCGCATATAAGAGCTGGGGTGTAGGCCAGAGGTGTGGGGGGTGAGAGGATTCACCAGAGCCAGAGCAGGGAACAGAACAGGCAGACTGACTGAAATACACTGCTGAGGGGAGCAGTGAACGAGACAGGAGAGGTCTGCTGCGCCATGTGGGTTGCTCCCTGGCCGGAGATTGAACTCGTGCTGCAGTGGCTGCGGGTAGCTTCATAGGTTGCATCTTAACGCCTTCCCCCACCAGGGAGGCCCCTGAGGCCAATTGGGAAATAGGCAAAAGTCTAGTTAGTGGTAGCAGAGACACCACAAAGAGGCTAATTCAGCTGGGGAGATGACGTCTTGGGCCAAATGGTGGAGAAGTGGTCGGATTCTAGATAATTTTTGAAAGTAGAATTGATAGAATTTGAAGATCATTCCATTTCAGTTCATACAGCATTTCTAATATTTTTTTATAGCTACCCAGAATTTCATTATACCATAATTGATCTAACCAGTCCCTGAACGATGTGTATTTAGGTCCATTCCCTACCTCCTGCTACACAGAACAAGCAGCATGTACCTGTATATTAAGTGACATGAGCACATGTCATCGTGCACATGAATGAGTATTCATTTGTAGGATAAATTCCTACACACAGAACTGCTGATTCCTTTCTTGGTGAACCAATTTTTGCCCCACCAGGAGCACAAGTGTTTCCCCAAACCTTGCTGATGTGTGTTAACAGACTTCGATTTTTGCTAGCGAGTTAGATGGTAAATGGTACAGCAGTGTCTTTTGATTTCTCTTAGGAGAGATTGTGGCTCTTCATATATTTAAGAAATCTAGATTTCATTTTGTGTAGTGTCCTTATGCCCCATCTTTGTCCAAGTTCACTGACTAAAGCCAGACTTCCCCATCCTCCATCCGGACCAGCTAAGTCTCCTTTCCCCCAGGAAGAACTGACTGCTTGGCCTAAGCTTTTAGTTCTCTATCGTCACTATGAGTTTCAGAGGCCTTACTGCTTCCACCACTCCCCTAGAGCAGAGCTTTGGAAGAGTACGCAGTTGGGAACTGTGAGCAACCCCCTAATCGGCAGGGCCCATAGCCATGACAGGAATAGTTTTGGGTTGAGTGCTTATTGTATACAAGCGGGGTGCCAGGCATTGGGAAGGAACGCGTTATTCAAGATCCTTCTCCAAAGCAATACACAATCTGGCACTAGTTAGAACATTTTGAATAAGTGGTACCACTAAGAACCAAGCAGCTAGAAATGTGGGGGTTTGGAGCTCATGTTCAGGATGGGCAAATCACCAAGGGAACATGGTTGAAAGAAAGTGGGTTGAGTAAGGAACCAGGATAACATCAACCTTTCAGAGACAAAACGGGCCTTGATTTTATTTTTTTTTAAAGGATAACTTTTTAAAATTTTTTAAAATTACATTGTTCATTTTTTTTTAAGGATTTATTTATTTATGCATACAAGAACTGGGGTAGAGGCCAGAGGTGGGGTGTGGGGGGGAGGTGAGAGAATTCACCAGGACAGAGCTGGGAGCAGAACAGGCAGACTGACGAAATACACTGCTGAGGGGAGCAGCAGGCGTGGCAGGAGAGGTCTGTCCCGTCATGCGGGACCCTTGCTGGTGGCCAGGGATGGAGCCGGCACTGCAGAGGCTGCGGGCAGCTTCACAGCGCTGCGCTCAACCGCTGCACCACCAGGGGAGGCCCTCCATTGTTCATCTTTGTACAATATTTGATTTCTCCCCTCAGGTGAGTCCCCATAGTTCTCCCACCTCCACATCACCAGTGACCATCACCATGGTCCCTTGTGCTCTTTCCTCCCATTTCACCCCTCTTTCCCCTTCCTGGCTGAATACCTCAGATTTTTTTTTTTCTCTTTGACCTTTTGTTCGGCTTCCCTATATTCCTTCTATAAGTGAAACCATCCACTATTTTTCTTTTTCCTTCTGACTTATTTCACTGAGCATAATCAAAAGGGGCCCTTAAAGGAGAGTGAAGAGAACTTGCAGAGGGCGATGTTCCAGAATATAAAGGAAGAGCTTCCAACAGTAGAGAGAAAACAAATTTTCTGTTGGGAAATTGTCTATAACCAGTGGACTGAGGTAGAGCAGTCTCAGAAGGTTGGTGGGAAGAGTTGGGATGTGAGAAAAAGGGCACCGTGAGATTCTGCCTGTGCAGGAGAAGAGCTGGGATGGTGAGGGCGCTGGCCGCAGGCTCTACACCACGAAGACTGTGGCTGCCCTGGTGCTCTGCTCGCTTCTGGCATGTTCTCCTGGTGGCTCTGTGTTGGGGAAGGCATCTCCTTAGCTTTGAATACGGCTCTTGTCAGGACCTCCAGAGAGAGGCAGAGCTCCCCAGAAAGATTTGGGCTCTGGGCCCTCGCCCCAAG